AAAGGACAGAATGAAAGTGCAGAAAAATAGTTGGAGCATCTCAAAAGGTATTAGGAAAAGAATATAAAGCAAAATCTGAAAAGTTACATAGCTGAATTCCGTCAAATATTTCACTAGAAAATAGAGTGTGCTTTTTTTCCTCATTGCAATTTCTGGATAAGAAAGAAGCTATTAAAATTGTAATAGCTAAAAGGTTTTATACTAAATATTCTTTTATATTGTGAGGACCTTCTCAACTTTTGTACTCTGGCCTGCTGAATTCTGTTTATTACTTGGCATTTTAGAGGATTGTCAATGTGATGTGATCAGAATTAAACCAGAATGCTAGAAAAGTTTGAAAAATATTTAATCTTGCAACAATACAGGACCTTATTGAATATTATGAGGCAGAAATAGCCGCAAATACAAAAATGAATCCGTTGTCATAGGCAGGAGCCATAAAATATGAAACCTTATTTTTGAATACTCAGTTTTGTACTTGTATGCCTGTGTTGAGTTCTATTTCATAACTTGTGTATTTCATTTTGCCATCAAAAAAAAAAAAAAAAAGAAGAAAAAATAAATTCTATTTTACATCTGTTCATTGTAGAAAAATAATTGGATTTTGACTTTTTTTGTCTGCAGCTAAATACCACAAAATAGCTGAAACTGGAAGAATTGACTTCATTTTCCTGTATATCTCATAGTTTCCCCAACCCTGCTTCAGCTGAGAGACATAAACCTATGTTTTTGTACACAGTCCGGGAAAAGAGGCACATGGAGGGAGAGAGTGACATCTTCTCCCTCTGCTCTTACTGTGGGTACATGGTGAACTCAGAAGTCCTGATCTGATGAGTGTTCTGACCAGCACCTGGTCAAAGTGTCCTCTAATGCCTGCCGGGGAAATGCCATGCATTACTTCTTCGTGAAAAGTCAGGTGCATCAGAGAAATGAGGGTCTGACAGGCACCCAGGCACAAGAGGAGTTAAGCACAGTGACATTAAACCACAGCCAAAGTAAACCACAGCCAAGCTTATCCAACCCACCTTAACTAGGAAGGTCCCACATCCATCTCTATAAATGCAACTTATGAGCACTTACAGATTACCCACCCCACATATTCCCATTACACATTCTTCATCCAGAGGTCCATCTAAGCAAACCTCATACCTGGTGGGAGCCCGGAGCAGATGCCTGTGGAAGCTATCAAGGTAAAACAGAACTCAGTCTCCAGAAACCTCTGGTGCAGGGGCTCCCTGACCTAGTGACAATGTCTGTGAACATAATAGCACCAGGTGAAGTTTGGATTGGCTATTAGGAAAATTTTCTTCACTGAAAGGGTGGTCAAACATTGGAACAGATGGTGGAATCACCATCCCTGGAGGAGTTAAAAAAAATTTGTAGATGTGGTGCTTAGGGAATGGTTTAGCGGTGGACCTGACAATGTCAGGTTAATTGAGGGGACTAGATCTTAGAGGTTCATCTTCCATGAATCCATTAAAGTCCTTTTAAAAATCATGCAAACTTTCACTATCTTTACCAAGCTTTTCTGGTAAAGATTCATTGCCATGAGCCCATCTTCTCTAGAGCTAAATATAAAATTCCCCCTAAACCACTGCACAGCACTGTATACAGTGAATAATGAAAACCAGAGCACATGGAAACCCTGATGGGCACTGCTCCGAGGGTTTTCTCATGGAAAGCAAACACCAGTGACTGCAGTTATGGGCTGCAAAGAGAACACACAACAGGCTGTGCCTCCTGACACCCCGGCACCCTGGGCTGATGCAGTTCAGAGAAGTCACATGTGACATCACTGCTGGAGGAGACTGTAGGCAAAATACACTCAGAAAAAGGGAAGGGAAGGGAAGGGAAGGGAAGGGAAGGGCCCGAGAGCGCGGCGCGCCCGGCGCTTTGGCGCCCCCTAGCGGCTGCCCCGAGCTCCGCCGGGTTTGGAACCTCGTGGGATTCAGGCTCTTGGCAGCGGACGAGAGGCCTGGGAAAACGCTCTCAGTTCTGGAAGGTATTTATAACAAAGCTTTATTGGACTCAAAGCTGAGCCTGGTTTTTGCTTCTGAAGGCTTTTTTTTTTTTTTGTTAGACAGCCTCGCCTGTGATCCCCCTGACAAAGAGAGCCTGCCACAAGCACAAAACCCAAAACTGTTGGATCAGATGAGCCTGGGGAAAGGCTGAGGCATGGAAGGATAACAGATGGAAAATATATGGTTGTGAGCCCCTTTGATACGGGTATTAGCAGCCTTCTGTCTCACTGAGAATTGCACTGGAAGTACATACCTGGGTTTGTCTGCTCATGTGTGATTTCTACACACACAGACACATGCACAGCTAAAAATTGAAATGATGGAGCAAAAAAGCTTTCTGTAATTAAAGGACCATTCCCTTCTATACTTGTATTATTATATCTTTGTACAATTCTGAATAGTACAGTATCATTTCCACTGTTCTGTATAAGAAATATTCATTAGAGCATGTTGTAAAGTAACAACTCCTGGTTGATGAATATAGAACATGTCAGCAAAATCTGTGTACACTGAAAGCCATAGATGCCTTTCTCTCCTCAATGTTAACTCATTTTACAATGAGCTGCTAAATGAAGTGCATCCTGTCTTTATAGATCAATACACTGGCAGATCAGTACCCAGCCTGGAAATGGGTGTGCAGGTTTCCAGTATCTTTTCTGTAAATAACTTAAATCCTCTATACAGCCACACCAACAGAAATCCCACAAATCCCATGCCCAGGGATTGTCTCTGCTGGCTTCTGGTTTGGGAATGGGACAATACAGGGCATACTTCAGAGGGAGACATGCAAAACAAAATTAAAGTCACCAGAAAGCTTCCTTGTGACCAGAATGGTCAAATAACTGGACAATTTGAGTTCACCAAACCAAGATTTACAAATTGAAGACATACTACTGGAAAAAGAAAACAAAAGAAGTGCAGTTTTGTAGCATCAGAGATTACGTGTCTTTAAATGGCAACTTCTTATAGTTTGAAGTATCATTACTGGAATAGATATTAAGTGCAGTTAAACCAAGGTGCTCTTTATTTGAGACACTCAATTGGCTTCTCTTAATATGCTACACCCTACATCTCCCCTTAAATTGTAGTTGAAACAAGACTATTTGGGAAATAACCAACTGATTACCATTCCTAAATATGGCCACACAAATCTTATGCTATCTTATGACAGTTTGGAGCCACCAGCTGAAAATATGAAACATAGGCCCCAGAAAAAGTTTAATGTCTTGAAATTTCTCTGTGTTTAACTAAAAAATTGATTTGTTTTCCCATTTTTTTTCTTACTTGGGAGGAAATGGACTGAACCTTTGAAGACAATAGCCATCCATCTCATGGAAAATGTTCTCTTTTCATTGCTGTATTTCAGATATGCACCAGGAAGCTGCCAACTAATCTCTAGCACTCTGAGTTTCTAGGCATACTCTACATTTTAGAACAATGTCTATTTGCAAGAATTATTCTTTAATTATCTTTTCAGGTCCATCTCCTTTAAGATTTGTTGTTGCCAGCTAATCTAGCCAATGCTGACAATGGGGAGATTAAACCTCATAATTGAATGTGGCAATATCTGCCAGCACAAGTCTGCAATCTTCATTTGCTACCTTCATTTTTAAGCAGGAATTCTAATTAAGCCAAAAGCAGCCTCAGGGTGTCACTAGAATATAGCTATGTACATCCAAAGTACCTGCTTAGACTCCTGCTCACAGGCTCAGATCTGGTTGTCAGAACAGAGGCCACACCATCAAAGTTTGAGGCTTTCATTAAAGCCATTGCACTTCCATGAAATTTACCCCCTGGCATTCTCCAGTAGGATTCTTGTGCCACAGGCTGAGGACTCTTTCTGACATAGGAGCCCTAATACAGTGACAATATCCAGGCTTGCAGCCAGAAGTAATACTGCTCCAGTGCTTGTTAATCTTAGTGCAGAAGCTCTTTCATTTAAGCATCCACCTTTACAAGTCTGCTGGATCCAGGCTGCTGTTCAAAGCAGCTGAATTCCTGAAAAGGGTGAAGAGGGTGTGCAGACAATCTCTTCACTTTTAATTTCAAATACTCCAGTGTCTGACAAAAACAAATCCCCACTGCGCTCAGAGAATTCAGTCTCCCCTAAGAGCAGGACTTATACCATTTCTCACAATGCCTCTACAAGGCCTGTGGTATTTTTCCTCAAGCTACTTCCTACCATGCTTCTCCTGTAAGCCTTCCCGTAAGGACAGTCCTCAGTTTCTCTCTAGCAGAGAGGAAACCTTCTTTTAGCAACTTTTTACCTCCAACTGTTAAAGGCTAGCCAAATATGCAACAAAAGAGGAATTTTTTCTCACCCTTAACAATGTATCATACCCTATTAAAAGCTTCATTTTCTCCTATGGCGACATAAATCTTTGGGAAGAAGCCCTAAATCGTGGTGGTTCTGAATTGATGATGGTTTCTGCTCACTGCATTTATGCTTGGTTAAAATAAAAAACAGCAAAGAGGAAATTCATTGAGTTTTTAACTATTTTCATTCCACATGATATTACAGAGTTGGTCTGCTGAAACTGAAGCAAAGATGAGAAATGCCATGCCTAGCTACAGATTTGATGCTAGGTTCCAGAAACACTGTACTGACAATATTCACATTTTTATTGATATTTTTCTATTTTTACTGACAGCAATTCAAAGAATTCACAATCCTTAGTTTTAAATGTGTTTACACAACTTAAGTTGGTTTTATTCGTTACCAAATGATCACTCACAAAGTGAAAGCCATTAAGAATGAAAAACATAAGATCAGGCCATATATCCAAAAATTAAAACTGCACAGGTTATATGAAAATATATGTTTTCTTTGAAAAAAAGTTTTAATTTGTAGTCAATTGTGAAATAGACAATGGTAGAGTCAAAATTGTATTATGAAATACATTGACAATGAAAGTGAAATATAAGATTGGTCATAGCTCTTGAATGTCACTATCAACCTTACTTGTATAAAAATCAGGCCCTTATGGTATACAAAACCTTATTTATACATTGAAACAATTGTTATCTTGCCTGATAAGGAATATAGAAGGAAAAGATGATGCTGGAAATTTAACATAAGATGAAGTATTTTTCCAAAATATTACTATGGAAATCGCAGGTACATGTTTTTTTTTTAAATAAAATTTACTGAAACATCTTGCATAGAAAGAGCACATTCAAAAGTCAGCATTACACTTCTTTTTATAATTTTTTCTGCTGGTTCTGAGATTTTTTAAAAGGCAGTTGAATAAAAGCTGACAAACACTCAGCTTAATCCTTTTTCTGAAAACTCAGTTCTTCTTGGGACCTTCTTACTCAAACTGGAACACTATAAATGCTGACATTTACTAATAAAAATTAACAACTATATTATAGAAATATCTAACAAAGTTTTAAGACTGAACCATTAAAGAGAAGGTGAAAGGTATTTATGATTGTAGTGATACATCATTCCACATAAGTGCAAAGAGAGACATATTTCTATTTTCATATGTTAATGGAAATATGGATAATTGGTTCTCCGAATTTTCATTGAAACTGATTTAATTTTGACTGGCTTTTTGTTCATTGTCCATGTATCCCAGTGAATGCCAGTTGCAAGGAATCTCCCTCTGTAGCGATGAACACCATTAAGATTTGCAAGGCCACACTTGTTGAACCACCATCCTGTGTTATCACTGAAGTTACTGCAGCTCTTTACTGGCTGTCCTTTAATAGTGCACATTGGCCTGCATCCATCATTATCAACATCAAACGTGCTGAAAGGCATGGAATTTTGGTTATCTTCTCTTCTATATCCTCTAAATGCATCACCTAAGTACAACAGATAAACAGAACGATAAAGTTATTTACGGAGAAATGTTTCTTACTTGATGCACACTCTACAAACTTTTCCTCTGAATTTATTAAAAAAGTAGAATTCTTCAAAAGCAGTTCAAGAGCACCAGCTAATGAGCTGCAAAAGTGCTAAAGATGCAGGGAAAAAAAGAATAAAATACTTAGAAATATGGAAGAAGTTAAAATTCAATGAAATGTCTTGGTATTTTCCTTGCTTTTAGCGATGCATACTGGCTATGAAGGTAAAGGCTTCTGTCCTCAAAGACAGAGGAAGAAGAGATAAAAGTAAACAAAAAGGGTTGCAACTTCAGATTTTCCAGTAACATGCCCAAAGCCCCAGAGTGAGTCACGAAACACGATGGAATTGTTGAAACACAAAGGTCAGTTATTACTGTCTCTGTTGTCTTACTAAAGAACTTACTGAAGAAATAGTATTTTTCACAAATACAGAGTAAAGCGCTAACACTTTTAGAGATTAACTATTGCATTGATAATAACCATTCTTGCATAACACAGAAAAAAGCAGCAAGACATGATGCAATGCTTAATGCAAATCTTTGCACGCTTAGTGTATTTATGCTGTTAAGGAAGGTCTGGAATTAATTTGTGTCTATGCATCACCCAGCAACTATTACACACTGTAGAACAGCCTTGTTCCACTCAGTTTCTTTCTCTATCCTTTGTACATGACTATCTGGGCATTTCTGAATTATCCAAAGCATCAGGAAGACTGCCAGTAACACCTGTGATGAGATAAAGGGCATCTAAATAATTGAACCATTAGGTAAATAAACACTAACACCCACAAATCCCTTATTTATTTTATATATATATCCCATTCAATTTTATTTTTTTTTTATTACAGGCATAATAGATCACCATATAATTCAAATTTTATCTGCATAAATGTTCATTATATACCAGAGAAAAACACATTAGAAATAAAATTTTTGAAGTTAATTATTATTCTTTTGGATGCATTTTTTTCATATTAAACTACCTTTAAATACTTCTAGAAGGAAGTTCTTACCAGCATTTCCTGAATAATGCCCCAAATGGATCTTAAAATAACATGATTCATCCTCTATCCAAAATCCATCATATGAGGCATAGGCATGCTTGTCATTTTCTGATTCCAAATCCACATAAAGACTGAAATGAGTGGCCTTTTGATTTACGATGTCAAAAATCTTCCTCAGTCCAAGCCAAAATTCTCCTTGAAGAGAAATATAATATATATTCTAGAACTGGAAACTGTAAAAGACAAAGTGATTGTTCCTGTTTTTTTACTTTCCTTCCTGAACCAAATGTAATAAAAGTTGCATGATACGCTTATATTCCTTTGAAAGACTAATGAAGGAACAGAGTAATCTTCCCATTTCCTTATGAAATCCCTAAGAAAACCCATGTGTGCATCATGGTTTTTTTCCCTGTGATACTTTTTTAGAAAATTGTCCAGATGATAGATTTCAAATATTTGTCTGCAATATATCCTAGAAGACCACAAAAACTGGATATGCTAAAGATCCACTTGCATGAACAGAACTCAGTATCACTCCTAAGTGCAATACAGAGAAATGATAAATGTTAGCATTCTATGAAATGCAAAAAAAAAAAAAAAAAAAAAAAAGGAAACCCTATTCTCAAAATTTAAGCTCTGTTCTCAAGATTTGCTGCCTCCATAAATCATAAATGTAGCCTCATATGAGCTGCACTTCTTTGGACAGAAAAGCTGCATGCTTCCATTGCAATCCCAGATAAACTTCTGAAAAAGCAAATGGGTTTAGTCTGGCAGGATTAAAGGTGGCAATAAAAAAATTAATATCACAGTTGTGTTGGTATAGGGTACTGAAATATTTCCATTGTTAATAACTTTGCATGCCCTATGGTGAAATATTATTGATTTTTCTCTACTCTAAGGAAATGAGTGATTCAAACCAACAAAGGCACTCTTTTTTTAATCTGAAAAGAGAAGAAATACAATCTATTATTTCAAGCACAAAATATAATATTTTAAACACTCTTGTAAGGCTGCAATAACTAAAGACTCTAGTGGGGTAATAGTCATTATCAGGAAGATCACACAACAGATTTGATTTTAAAAATCCTTAAGTAAAAACAAGAACTTCAAACTTCTAAGAAACTTTTAAGAAACAAGAACTTCATACTGCCAAAACTACCACGCAATTTAGAGGAATGTAGCTCACATAAAAGCAGGAGAAATGTGGGAAGCACTTTAGAGTATTTAAAATTAATACCAGTAAGGTCACCAAATCCATCCAGATATTCAGACCATGTTCTCTGAAACTGAACAATTCCATCAGTTCTTTTCTGAATCACAGTCCATCCACCTCCTCGAAAATCCATATCACACAAAACCTAAAATAAACATAGGCATGATTAAGCATTCTTGAAGCAGTTTTTATGAAAAATACATTTTAATTAAATAAAGATGGACTATTCAGAGTTTTGCTAAGTAACATGTTTTTCAAATATCTTTTAAAAAAAGCTCTAAGAAAATAAAAAATAAAGCTGCAGTAGTTTCTTATATGTTCTTGTTGAACTGTTTGATTTGGATATTTCTTCAACCAGTAGAAACTGCTGTGTGTAATAGTCTGCTCATAACAGATATAATAAATAAGCTTTGATAAATGTCACTGTAACATTTATAGCATGAAAGGGAAGCAACTTGCAATGTCATGTATTAATCAGGCAGCATATCATTGATACAGGTAGCAACACCAAATAAACTTTTATTGCAGCAAAGCAAAATAAACACAACTTCTTGTATGTGCTCTGTCACCACCACGCCTTCTTCCAGAGAATGTGTTTGTGGTGCCTGGGAAATTTAGAGCCTTTAATAAGGGTGAGGAAACGGAAAACAGTGATAGCAATAACCCAGCATACAACAATAATTTTCAGCAGCAAAAACCTCTACATAAGAAGTGGCCCCAATCCAGGGAAGTCCCAATGTGAACATATAACTGCCTGCAACTGAGCAGTACCACTGCATACATAAGATCAACTCTCAAATTTATGAGTCTTTAGGAGTCTTTGCTAAAATTTGTGTCCAGCAGTATGTCAAATGGCAGTGGTCCAGCTGCCATCTGCTCTGCTTTGGAATATCATATTAAGTGGCACGTTTTCTCCTCAGCCCATCTAACTTAATATTTGTAATTGACTTTCCTAAGTATATCTGCAGTGCCAAATCTTGATCAGCTCTAACTGGGATTATAAAGTCTGGAAATCTAATTTAGAAAGAGCATATTGCACATTTATACACTGCACTCCCTAAGTTATTCAATGCAGTTCTAAGGGATAGTATCCATAATTAATGTTTGAAAACAGGGCTCATTTTTGTCTCCAAAGGTGATGAATATCAGAATTAACCTGGAAAATGCTTATAGGTAGTGAGCCAGTAAGCTTCTTGTGGTAACAAAAGTAAGTTCAGAACATAATATTGGCTGTGATAACACTAAGCCGATGCACAAGTGATGGAAAAAAGTATGAAATATTTTTGACGTTACAGAAAATGTACAAAATGAAACAAAATGAAACATGTTTCAGAAAAGAGAGATTTGCAGTCTTAGCCAGCTGATAAAAGTGACACTGGGTGTAAGTTAGTTTAACCCTCAAAAAAATTTGTGCCAGACTGAGCATTATATGTTGCACCTCCATTGCCTGCAGTAGCCAGATATTTTTTCAGGAAACCAGACTTGCTCCTTAGCAGGAAAATATCAACAATATAGTTAGAGCCTCTGTGATTTAACAATGTCTTCTCAATGAGTGACAAGAAAGCAACAGGAAGAGCTGCAATTTGATCTAATACACCCTGAAGGATCTTGGACCTTCAAGTAAGATACTTCAGTCAATTCCTGCAAAACAAATACTAAATGAATCATACTAAGATTTTTGTGCATGAAAAAAAAATTGTGACCTTTATTCCCTGGAGAGTCACATGCTTATTTCAGTCACCCAAGGAGGATAGAACTGGAATAAAAAGAAATACAGAAGATTCCAAAGTGAATATTTAGATGAAAATACCTAAACCTCATTCAAAATAATACCATTGCCTCATCCACTGTCTTGAGCAGATAATTGCATGCTTGGCTACTCCTCTGATTATGAGTCAGAAATACTATGACGATCCCACTTGGTCATAACATCAATCTTTGATCCAATATAAATCAGTGTGAGTGTTGATAATTCACAGAAGGAGCGGATATGGTTCTACATGAGAGGCCATCAGCCAGTTAGATACAGCACCAATACATACACCAGCTAAATAAAAATGTTAGATAGGTACAGAAAAACACAGTTATAGCTGTGTAGCTTTCTTAATCCCTTATGGAAATGTTGCAGTTGTAAAGCCTTATAATAGTTAATCTGCTTTACAGTTTGCTCTGTCTCATATCATGAAAGGTATGAAGGGCATGATTGTGCCATGTACAAGCTAAATTAAATGAGAAGGAGGACACTTCTACTGAATATTTCTTCACTTTCCACCTGCAGTGTGTATAAGAGGTATATTCTAAACAATTGTTTCATTTGTCTGATTCAACTGAGAAATATCATTGATCTAAATTTACTGATTGAAAAATGTATCAGAAATTGGTCATGGTTCATTTTTCCAAAAGTAAAATTGGTTTTAATCATCTCATTAATAAATGCTCAGGAAAAAGCCTAGTTGAGAGTAACTTTCTGAGGTGACAGAAACCTGCCACTACCACTAAAGCTAGGTATTTTTATTGCTCCTGGCATCTGGAGTTCAATTAGCCCAAATTAAGCATAAAAATCTATACTCACTTTTGGAAACATGAGGTATCAAACATGAAAAATAATAATGGGATCACATTTTCTAAATAGTTTTCATTTAACTGATATCTTTATGCATATTATTCTAAACGCATTTTAATTTAGGTTCCATTGCATAAAAATACATTTTATTGCTGCAAAGGTCTTCATTGATATAAATTGTTTCATGTTGGGTTTTTTCTTGTTTTCTAGTTTCTTAGTATGGTTTTCTACCTCTGTATTTTTTCTTATTTTGCTGGTCTGCAGAACATTTAAAACTCTTGGTTATTAGCCTCTAAAAGATGCTTTATAATTTCTTGTTTATATTCAAATATCTTGATATTTTTGTCTATCTACCATTTCTCTTGTATTCTTTTTATGCTTCAACACATGAAAGAATTCACATTAAGTAGTTTTCCTTAAAATAACATTCTTTATGGAACACATATTTTAGAAATTTTTTCTCTGAGAGCTTTTTGGCACTGTCTTTCAAGTTCTGTACAACATTTACCAGACAAGAAATAAGACACTCATGACGGCAAACATTCTTCTCATTATTTATTGTTACCTTGTTCTTTTAATCAAATTGCTATGATTTTTCTTTTCTATTTCTGGAATTACCTTCAATCCAGAAGCAATTATTAAACAAATACCATTTTTGCTATAGTTGCATTTTGCTCATACTACAAATATGGTTGTTCTGTGAACACTGCAACGTCTTTGCCTTTCTTTTACATGGAAGGGACTTACTGATGAGTTACAGATCTTATTCCTGAGCCCCCTGCATTGTATGGAGAGAATGACAGGTTTTTATATCAAAGGTTGCAGTATCAAGTTCATATTTTTCTTTTGAGATGCCAGCATAAATCTGAAACCTTTTCTTAACCAGTTTAAGCTCCTTTTTGTAGGATTTTGAAGGGCTCCACTTGGCTAGAGATAAAGGGATTCATTCTTTGTTACATATAAAGGAACACCATGAAGACAGATATTAAACTTTGCTAGTTATTGCTTGGCTTAAATTCCTTGGTTTTTTTCAAAAAATAATGATCTCAACCTGTATAGCAAAGTTGAAGGTTTGAAAGTGCCATGTCTACCTTTCTACTATGCATAAGTCCTTCTCTAAACAGAACAGCCTGAAATGGAAATAAACATATAAAACAAAATATTCCTTGTGTTTGCAAGGATCTTAATATTCCTAGTCTGAGGAAATTAACCCAAAATTCCATTCTTCTAGATGAGCACTATTAATCTGAGCAATTACATAAAGTGCAGGCAGTGATAGGAAGTATGATTGCTGCAGGTTTTTTTAGGGATATATATCCTTGTCTTAGGAATATAAATCCTGCAAACTGGATAGGAAAACCACAATTTTAGATCCCCCTGTGCCTCAAGGCTGGATTATAATGATACTCAGGCAAGGTTTGTATTCCTCAAACCAACATCTGCTCCTACACTTGGATGACTGCGTCTGTGGAGTCCCATCACAAGGGAAGGCAACGTTATACAGCCAAATCACTCAAAATCTAAAAGTCCTGTCTTAAAAGCCAAATGGGTCAGTCAACAGCTCTTCAGTTTTCCATCTCTAAAACAGCAAACAGCTCTTCTCCATATCCAAAAGAGGTGCTGGTAAACACCTTGGGTTTTCCTCTTTGATATTTTTTAAATCATATGAAAACTGACAATGGACTCTTATGACAGAGATTAAATTTCTTTGTAGAAGATAAGAAACTTGTCAAAATTATACGAAAAGCAGACATGTGCAGATGATTTAATACATTTTTCATTCACCTGTTGAAGAATTGTCATGGAAAACACTTTAGGTCTATTAAAAATATTCTAAATGTATATTGTCAAGCAAATCATGACTAATAATAAATTTATTACCTCAAAAGGATAATTTGATCCTTCTGGATGGATAATGTACAGACCACTTGGAGTTTTTGAAACTGAACCAACAGTATCTTTAATATGAGTGCAGTCCAAACCTAGAGAAAAAAAGGTATACAAGCAAGTTCATGAGCAAAATATGTTTTTAAAAAATACAGATTAATACAGGAATATTACTTTTCTTGGTGGCATGAATTATTTAAAATATAATTTTCTTCTCATGCAAACTTTAAAATCATGCCTTGTCATGAATTATCTTGCAAATTAAAATTCTCTAAACACCATTGAGCTTCTAAGTACAAATGACACTGTATTGACAAAGTTCTTTCTAATCTTAATAGATATGATATATACCTATATGAAATTAAAGATTATATATCTGGGTCCATTTACTGATTTTTTTTTATTTATAACACCTGGTCTATGAAAAAGATATATTATCTGAGGAAATAATATTATATTTAGACTTGTAAAAGCCTTTCCATCTTAAAGTATACACAAAAAACATTCCATTTGAAGAAGGATACTGCAGATGCAGAGCACACCTTATTTCATTGCAAAAGAATGTACCATTCAGCAACCTCAGATCACTTACTAGCTAATAATCATACTTGGTATTTTACATAAAAATCAGCATGCTAAATAGGATGCCCAGAGTTGTCAGTTGCAAATGATTTAAAGCAGTATTTATGATAACATTTTTGAACAGTTTATTAAGTTTCCAAAGTTTATTTGTTACTAACACAGGATAAATGTCAATGTACAATTGCTTACCTTTGCTTTAATTAGCTCCTTTTCAAGATACAAAGATAAAAAGGGAAGGTGTCAAGCCTACATCTGAAAAATACTTACCATGAGATTGAACTGCTTTATAAGGGAGTGGATCCAGATGTTTTCTCAAAAGTACTGTGTTCAAAAGAACAAGTTTGTTCATAAGTTCATTTACCTGCAAATTCAAATAAAAGATCTTTAATTAGGTTGCAGAGAGAAATTTTACATTCTAAAGATTTTTTTCCTGACTCCTAATAAACATAATCTGAAGTTAATTTTTGTGATGTGTAGTAATTTGTACTAATGTGAAGTAATGGCCCTCCACTTTCCCTGCTGCAATGTATGACACTAAGTTGTGAAATGGGGTGCTTACCACTCCTCGTAGAAATGGAACTCATATTCCAGAGGTACAAGGACTGGTGATAAAACATTCTAATGCTACTGGTTTAATGACAATTTAATGGTTTCATGAGCCATATTTTTCCTCAGAAAGACAACACCTGCTGTGAGAAATTACAAATACAAATCTTTGTTATAAAGGAAAAAGTACCTGATTAGAAAGGTAATCCAGCGAAGACTGTTGATCATCCATCATGTCTCTTACCAGCTTTTTTGTACTTCTGGCATATTCAGCAAGAGAGTTCTGCAAATTTCCTTCAGAAAGAAATATGTTCATCCACTTTGTTTTCATAACTCTAGAGATATTCTTGACTAAATGACAACATACTTATTTATGACATCTAAATGAATACTGAAGGTGTTTTACCTTACAGAACCTAAAAGTGAAATGAAAGCAATACAGAGACCACAGATTAAAGCCAAAGGTGCTGAAAACTTCAGACTTTCTGGTTGCAGTACAGACATCTTAAAAAGTGATGGATCTTTTCATGTTTTGAAGAATAAATTAATCTTATCCTTAGATAAACTGGACAACCAGTTAATGGATATCACAGAAATATAAATGCATATGATAAAAGACAGATATATATAAGGCTTCTTGTCGCCTTACATTTGCTCATTCATTGTACTACTCCTGGTTTTTGCTCTGATGCTAAAAATCACAATCATCATCATAATGGCATATTATAATAATATATATTTTGAAATCATATGTGAAAACCAAGAATTTGCACAATTATTTTCAGAGACTGACTGTATAATTTGTTGTGTAGTTTGTCAGCTAGTGCATAGAGAATATCCTGTGTAAGCCTCCATAAAAGTAAGGTGAAGTACACATTTACTCCCATGTAACTGACTAATTAATTAATTACCTCCCACTTACACCTCCACACCCAGCTATGATGTTTAAATGAACAACAGACATCCTCCTCTTCCTCTCTAATTGAGTGAGATACTGACATTCAGAGCATAGCAGACCTAGGTGGGTTGTGTGGTTGCTTGGATTTGCCTGTCTTCACCAATGATTTTACTTTGTCACACCATCTGCATCCCTAAAACAGGGTACCCCAGATTTTCTGGACAACACAGTTTGGGCAGCAGGGTCACAAGGCTGTCACGTGTGCTCAAGAACATTAAAAAATAAATTTGCACAGCATAGCGTAGCAGAGGAGAGGATTGCATAGCATGGCACTGCACAGCTCGTCACTGAAAGTATTCTTTATGAATACATACTGCACATGTAATGTTTGTCCCCTCGTAAAATTTTAGCTTGAGCATCACATGGTACAAGGCATTGTTCTTTGTGTTTTGAAATATCTGCAGATTTATTTTTCTCTTCTGCCTGGAGTGGTTCCTCCACAGCTCCAACATTCCTTGTGTCCTGTTGTACCAAACAATGGAGGGGGAAATAAATTGAACATAAAGCACACATAAAATAGTTCAGTTTGTCAAAATGAAGTATATTGCTACACAGGACTTCCTTCAAAACCTGGTTTTTAAAAGCTTTATCAAGCAATAATTGACAGAGCTGAGACCAAAACTGATTAGATGTTCTCTGCTTAGCCATACCTCACAAGAAAAAAGTTGTGGCAGAGATAAAGAATAACCTCTATATATTAAAAAAATACCCCTACCATTTCTAGTGAGGTATTATACTTGTAAGCACTGTAAGTGGGAGGCAAGAACTTGCAAATTCTGCATTTTAGGAATCACCACACCCAATAGGTATCTCAAATGCTAATGAACTTATTTTTGGCTTTTGGATTTACCAAATATTAGCAATGTACTTTTACTCTTGAAAATCCCTACATTCATTAGTAAGACTAATCAAGGAAGTAAGACTGGTCAAGGAAGTAGTTGCATAAGTTTTCAACTTATGCACACAAGCAGTCATGATAAAACTTATGCAGCTACTGAGAAGATTTGCATACCAATTCAGCAGTAAAAGAAATATTTTAAATGTTCTTATAGGGGAAAGAATAAAGGGACAGTATTTATGGGCACACAATTACCTGAAACAGTAACAATAATAGCATTAGTAAAAATAGCTCCACCTATTACTGTTATTTTAAAATTGTATATTCATATTTAATAGTTTTTCTTCCATGGTGCCATATGACATAAAATAAGGGAATGCCTCTGAATCATCCCTTAAAGAAATTACTAAAAGTAATAAAAAAATGTGTAATTGTCAAAAGACTGAGCAACATATTTTCATATGAGCCTTTGTTTGATGATTTCATCATCTCAGCAAGACGTTTATAGTGTGTTCATATATTGTGTTTCCAATGTAAATAGGATCCTTAGAAATGTCAAGATTTTAATGAAAAACAAAAGTTATTTAGACTTGAATACATCTTCATCACAATTGTTCTTTCCTGCTCCAGTTTTTTCTTTCTGCAATTGGTACTACACCAGCAAGCATTGAACAGGGTTTTTTGCTCTTAAAAAGTGAAAGTAAAAATTACAGAAAACTGTTAACAAAGGAATTTACAAAAAAAGGTTTCTGAATTACTAGTATAATTGCATTTTATGCCTGGAGAATGATAGAGAAGTAAAAGAATGTGTTTCTTTAATTTTGAAATAAGCACAAGATAAAGAAAGAAAAATTATGCAAGAGTTATAAACAGATCTCTAGAACTTATAAATAGAACACTTGAAAGTATGGCTCGTTCCAGGGCTATCACAGCTACTCACCAGATGTTCAATTAAACACTGTTAAGCAAATATTTTTAATCAATATTTATCTTTGCCAAAAGCCAACACGAAACAAGCAATTAAGTCTGATCTCAGCAATTCAAGCAAAAACTGACTCTGCCAAAACCAATAGTTACTCTGCATTTCAAGTCATGCAGATGAGATTAAAAATATGACATAACAACTGAGCTGTGATACAGGACATTAACTCAAAAATGTTCTAATATATTGAATTCCCACAATTTCAATGTAGTTTATTTTCTCTATCTGAAAATACCTGATTGTTCTGTATTTTCATATCTATCTTGAATAAAGCAATCCATATTTTTAGAACATCTGTCAGTTTTCTGAGAAATCATTCAGTTACATTAATTATCTTATCTGCACAAAGTAACAGAAAATCTTACCTTAGGTGAACAAGGTTCGCCATTATTTATGACAGTCTCTCCTAAACCAAACAAAAAAATATTAAGACAAATAAATGAAGTTACCCTAAAGTGGTGGTTCATCTTTTACTTGAAAAAATGCAAATGTTTTGATGAGTTTCAAATTTCTGTGGAAAGAATTGTACACTATGAAGGCCTGATCTAACTATTTGGGAATGTTTGCAGCACAAAGGGCAGCCAACACATCACTCTTTTACTGCCTGGATTTAATAAACCACATTTCAACTGCACAGCAGATTTTATATATTACTACTTGCATCCTGAAGGAAAATTACTGCTTATCACCTCTACATGACACATCAAACATATATATTTTCATTGTGATAAACTCTGACAGATTTTCTTATATGCTATTTTTGATCATTTGTGTATATTCGGCATGAGTGTTCTGGGCTACTTGAAAGAAAATTTAGTATTACTTCATGTTTTCAATTTTTTACCAAGTTTTTTTTTTTTTTCATTAAAATTAAAGAGTCTGTATTGCTGTGGTGGTAGTGCACTAGAACAGGCTGTGGAGGCAATTTGGGAATATGTCATCAAAGTGATTTCAAAATAGAAAACTGAATAGACATTATTTTAAATTAGTAGTTTATATTAAATAGAAAATCTTTTACCAGGAGAATAATAGCAGTATTTTGGTCTCACTGGTAGCCCACCCCTTGTAACACAGGTACTGAGACTATCATTCAGTACAATGATTTTTATCCCTGAAAAAAGTCAAAGGACAAGAGAATGGCATGAAAAAGAAGAAAATTAAATCTAGTCCACAGAAGCTTAATTAAAACTATGAGGCACTTAAGATTTCACTCAATTGCACTACTTTTGTGTCTTAAGACTGGATCTGATAAACTGGATCTGAAAAAAAAATTCAGAAAGGTCCAACATGTTTAGGGAATTTAGACATATTAGAGAATTTAAATAATTTGTGATCTGGCTGAATGTACCACTGGGAAATACACTTTCTAAAGGATCTTCAGAATACACTGTTCAACTGCACTTTACACTGGTAAAAGAAGGCAATGCTCCAAATTTGGCTTGATAATCTCCTCCTCTAGTGGAGTAGTTAGTCTCCACCTCTATCTAAAGCTGGAACACACTAGAAATAGCTTTTGCTACTAAGATTTGTTGGGACCAACCAACATTTGTTGGGAGTGAGGATTAATACACTTCTTAATCTAATGTTTTCTTTTAAAATTAATAGCTAAATGGTACTAAGAACCTGTAACTGAGTAGAGTATATTCAACTGCCTGTGAAATTCTGAACAACTTTGGCTCTTCTTTATCTCTCAAAAACAAATTTTTATTTTTTTCTAAAGTACCCCACAGTATGTAATAGTTTTCCAATATGATACTTAGTGGGGTTTAATTAGTGCATCAGTTGATGCTTTCTCAAGAAAATGCAGGTTGTGATCATTAGTTCAGTATCAGTAAAAAGGTGAAAATATTTCCATGGCTCTCTATATAACACATTAAAAGCAGTTTTTCTTCCTTTTTCTATTTACATCAGTAGGCAGAGTGACAAAATTCAGGAATGGTTAAAACAGTCAGAACATTAACTTCTCCCATGCAGTTGCCTACACAGCTTGGAGAAAAGTATAGGGTATCAGCAGATTAATCCTCACTGGGACAAGAAGAAAAGAAAAATATGTTCCTGCAGCAGCACAGCTATGCTCCAGCCTTTAAATAAGACTTGTAATAAATTCAGAATCCATCCCACAAAGTTTTAAGAGATAGTCTTTATCCTTCAATGGAATATAGTGGCCAGTCCCAAGTCAAGTTTATGAAACTTCTTCCAAATCAGAGCAGGACCTTCCATTCTGTAACTACTTAAAATCAGGTTTCTTGCTGCCCCAGAATAATCATACACTTCTGAATTACATGGGCCCCAGCTTGTCACCTTCTTGTCCCACCGTCTGAAAGATGTGAGGTTACTCTTGAGGAGATTCAATAACCATAAAGGAGAACTAAGAAGATTTAATAAAAAAGTAAACAAGAGAAAGACAGAAATATATATAAACACTGAATAAGTTCTGAATCTCAGAAGGTGTCTTAAGGTGAAGATGCAAGTTGCACTCTATTAGATGACAAATTTCAGTAAATCTAAGGAAGCTCAACATCTGTCAGTGGCATGAGTTGACCATGACCTTCAATCTTCCTAAATGTGACATGGGCCCAAATTCTGCAGTGTCCCAGCTCTGCCTTAGTTCTGCTTGGGTGACACAGTTCTCCAACCTGATAAAGCCTTCTATTGCATCCTAAATGAAACAGTGCATTTTATCAGGCAAACTGGGATTTTAAATGTGTGTGTAGGTTGAAAAGCACACAGTGATAAACTGACAACCATTTTTCTCCCTTCTGCAACACACCAGAGCAGATGGGGCAAAGAAATGGTGAATTTGGGGTTGATTTTCTGAACTAGAGGTGAAAGACTTCCATTTTAGGGTCATCTCAATGGCAGTAACTGAGATACTGTAAATATAACACACTTGGCAACCTGACCACCACTGACTGGTCTTGACTGTAAAATGGTAACAGCAACGCCCACTTCCCAAACTGTGCTACAAATATGGGGGAGGGGTCTGTGCAGAAAAGTATTTTACAAATGCAGAATACTGTTTTTTACCTTCCTAGTCAAAGACATAGAACAGCTGCACACTGAAAAAAAAAAAGGGAAAAAAAAAAAAAAAAGGAAGAATTGGTTTAAGCTCAAATACACCAGCCAAGATATGTCTCGCCAGGAAACCACCAAGGCATTTAGCCTGTTGCTGACAGCTCATCCGAGGCAGGGCAATATCCCAAGACTACACACCCTACTTTGCTTAAAAAAAAAAAAAAAAAAAAGAAAAGAAAAAAACTGTTTTGCAGTCTTAAGAACAAACTGTTTGGGGGGTTTTTGTATTTTTTTTTCTTTGTGTAAGTGTATTTATGGACTTTTTAATCTTTTTTCTATAGTACTCATAATTTTGTGCATCAACTGCACAAAACATCTTTTGGTGGTTGATGTTGTTATTTCTGCACAAAAGTTTATGGGCTTAACTCCAAGTCTTCAGCAGGCCTAAGAGGCACCGCACAGCTCTGCAAACCCGCACGTGGTGTTTGCCCAGGAGAACGCGTTCGCTCGCACCCCGTGTGTGTTTGGGGCTTTTAAAGGTCATCCCGCGGCGTGCAGCGCTGCAGAGGAGGGAAAGCCCAGCGAGAGCAGCACCGTCCCTGGCAGGGCCGCTTCACTGCTCTTCCAGCCGGGCCGGGCCGGGCCAGGCCCGCGGGGAGTGTGCGGAGCGATTCCCACGCATGGCTCCCACCCTAGAATGGGCACCGACGAGGCCCTGCCGGGCGAGGCGGGTCCCGGCCCGCCCTGTCCCCTGCGCCAGCCTCGCAGGCAGCAAATGCCGCGGCAGCCGAAGCCTCTCGCCCAGCGCCGCTCCCCGCGCCGCGGCCCCGCCCCGTTGCGAGGGCAGCGGTGTGGCCGGTTGCTACGAGGCCGGGCAGTGGGCGCAGAGCGGCGCGGCGGGGCCCGGCGCTGACTCGGGCGCTGCATGGAGCTCGGCGGGAAGGCCGGCGGGGCGGAGCGGGGGCAGCTCCTCGCCGCTGGGCGGCAGGACCGCGCGGGAGGGCGGCGGAGCGTCCCTGTGTATCCTTCGTGAGGCGGTCCCCGACCGCCGGGGCGGGCGTTCCTCGGGCCGGCCGAGCCCTGCGAAGGGGGGCCGGGGCCGCGGCGCTGCGTGGGGCCCGTGTGGGGAGGCGGCGGGGCCGGGGCGGCGATGTCCCAGCCCCCGCCCTGCCCCGCGGTCAGAGACCGCCTCAGGGGTGTCTTCAAGCTCAAACTTGTACATTGCGGGTTTTAAACTGCCGTGGGAAAGTTGACTTCTCAAGCAACTTCGGAGTTTTCTTGTCTTCCCTTTAATAGGAGATTATGCCACTAGGAATAGTGTTTTCCATCCTAACTTGTGGGTTCTTGGTTTTTTCAATTTTAGTAGTAAGAACTACTGACACAAACTCTTGAGATCCGCCTGCACAGTGCTACTTATATAATTACTGGCGTGATGCAGGGCTGATCTAGCTCTGTGGAGAGCTTTTATTTAATGATGTTAATCAATTTCAGTGTAAACAACTAATCCTTTAGGGTGTGTGGGCCGACCTTTAGCATTTTCCTTGTCATGCCTGCATCTTTATGTTACAGGTTTAGATAACTACACAAAATGAACATAATAAAGGTGGGGTTTTTCAGCTGGTGGCATCATGAAAGATAATTGCAAAGCCTCTCCTAAAATCCCTTTAAAAATTAAAATGCAATTACATTTTTTTCTAGATGAGCATAAAGTTAGTTATGACTGTAACATACAGTGATGGGACCTACTCTATAGAAGGCCAGTCATACAGGCTATTGTATCATTTAATGAGCAGTTCCATCCAGTTTCTATTGTCCTTAACACAATCTTAGGGGTAGAGATTTAATGTTTCATTTTGAACAGGATTTACAAGAAGAACGTCGGGCACTGAAAAAGGATCAAAAAATGCATCGGAGCAAGGCAATGAAATATTTGATGGAGACAAACAGAAGAAGAAGGCAAGTAATTAGGGTTCCTTTAATGGAGGATTGTAAAAAAAAGAGAAAGCCAAAGCAAAAGAGTCAAAACCTTGAGACAGATCAATATATCTCTACTATTTTCATGTTCACTTGGATAAATAGCTCACTGCTTTGGCCTAGAGGAATCTAAGCTGAAAAGTTTCACCAATCCAGTTTCTTGCCATAGGACAAATAAAATAAAAATAGTAATATTCTGATTTACTCGCTAATTTTTGGAAACTCACTGTAGTCACATCTCATATAAACTAAAGGTAAGTAGCGCATTCATCCTGTGGTTCTGATGTGCATTTCTGGTGTTCTGGCTTTTATTAGCTTCAATGAAGGTATGAAAAATGCACTCAGCTGTACAGTGTGGGCCAGCAGAAGGCAGTTGTTGCCTTCTGAAGTGTATGTTTTTCTGTCTGCATGGCATAACAGCTGCACAGCCTCCCCTTCATGCTGAGGCTTTGTGCTCCCACTTCCCAGTAAACACAAAGCAACGTTTTTCTTGTACAGGATTACACTTATAATAAACTTATTTTGTACTGACATTTTAAACAGAGCTTTACATAGTCTGTCTTCTGCATACATGAGAGTGCAAAGCCATGAAATATTCTGTGGCAAATGGATTAAGTAAATTATGCCCTGAAATGTCTCAGTGAAGTGCTGTATGTAGTGTAATGGGCATAGAGGTTTTGTCCCTCACACTGACGTGGTGCTCACACATGCAGAGAGCTCAGCTGTGTGTACTGCAGAGGCAGAAGGGTTCCTCCTTGCAAGCCCCCAGCCTCAGACCAGCTTCTTCTGCCTCTTGTTAACTCATTAATGTTTGTGCCCCACAGTTCCCTTGCCTGATTACTTCTGTTGTACAATGTTTACTTATTGCATATGTTCATAACTCATAAGAGAGGTGATATATATTGTTTATATTGCCATTTTAGCCTGACAGTATGTGCTATCAATTTACATTTTGAAATAAAAAGAAAACTGGAGGAGAGATATAATCACCTATGAATAATTAAAGACAGAGTGCAACCCACAACCTTTACAGATATAGACTGAGTCTCAGTTGAAAAATTAAATACCTGATTTCTTTTTCTGGAACAGAACCACTGTAATGCTACACATCTCAGATGAACACTGTTTATTGTATTACTGGTCTTGAAATGTTATAGTCTAATGTAAAAGCAAGTACCAGACAGCCTGCATATTTTTGACAGACTGGTGTAGTTAAAGTAATACTCATGGATACATAAATACATTTCCATATGTATTTCATTGTAGCCTTAAGAAACACAGTATAAATCCAAGTTACTCAGGTGAGCCACTTAAAAATTTAGGTATGGTATTCATAAAATGAAGACATTTTAATTTGTGATAATTGAGAATGGCATAATTATTAGCACAATAAGCAGGTCAAATAGAAGTCTGTGGTAACAAGTTTTCTCCTAATAACTGAGAAGTGAGTTATTTAATGTTAAAAAGGTAGTAAGTGCATACAATGTAATAAGCTATAATATATAAAAGTAAAAATTAAGGGTCACTGCATATGTTCAGGAAAGTAATTTGAAAATAAAGTTCCTTGAATCTAAGTATTTTTTCCTGACAGTTATGCAGGTAGGAATTGATTGATCAACCCTCAGGTCATGTCTCAGGTCTATATGAACCAAGTTCCATTAGCTTTCTTACACATGTTAAGGTGTTAGATATGATGATGGTTTCTCAAGGGTAGCATGATGTTCTTAAGCTCCACATTCTCATCCAGCAGCACCCAAAATTCTCTACCACGGCTTACGGGGATGTATCAGGAGTTATTCTTGGCACTGCTAGTGTATAATTTCAAAAGAAAATTTGTATCTTCTTCATTTTTTATATGGAGGGTAGGAATGAGTACACTTTGGAGTGTGACAGTCCATTTTCTACCTCTTACCTTCACATAGAATGGTCAAGATTGGAAGGGACCTCTTGATCTGGTTGAACACCTCCACTCAGGAAGGGCCACCTAGAGCTGGTTGCCCAGGAATCACTTTTGAGCTTCTCCAAGAATGGAGACTCCACAGCCTCTCAGGGCAATCTGTGTCAGTGCTGTCATCCTTACCCAAAAAAAAAAAAAAAGTGTTTCCTGATATTCCAAAGGAAACTTCTGTGTTTCAGTTTGGTCCTGTCAGTAGGCATCACTGAAGACAGCCTGGCTCTCTCCTCTTTGCACCTTCCTTCCAGATATTTATAGACATTAAGAAGATTCCTTTGAGCCTTCTCTTCTCCAGCCTGTACAGTACCAAATCTTTCAGCATTCCTAGAGAGATTCTCCAGTCCCTTCATCATCTCTGTGGCCCTTCATTGAACTGTCTCCAGTCTGTCTGTCTTGTACTGAGGAGACCAAAGCTGGGCACAGCTCTTCAGCTGAGACCTGCCTAGTGCTGAGCAGAGGGGAAGGATCACTTCCCTCTCCATGCTGGCTAGGCTTTGCCTAGTGCAGTTCAGGATACCACTGACCTTCTTGACAGCAAAGTTGGTCCTTTCTCTCAAGTAACAAGTGCTACAGCATGAAAGGAAATGACCTCAAATTGTATGAGGGGAGGTTTAGATTGGATACTAGGAAAATTTTCTTCGTGAAGATGATTGTCAAGCATTGGAAAAGGCTGCCCACTGGAATGGTTGCATGTGGTGTACTTCAAGACGTGGTTTAGTGGTGGAGTTGGCTGTGCTGGGCTTGTTGTTGGAGTTGGTCCTAGAGATCTTTTCTGACCCAAATGATTCTGTGTTTCTACGTTTAATGAAGATGTTAAAGAGGATTTGGCCCAGTACTGACTGCTAGGGTTCACCACTGTGTCCTGGCCTCCATGAGGACTTGGTGTCACTGCTCAGCGCCCTTGGGGCCTGACCATTCAGAACATTTACATTCCACCTCACTCTCTGCTCATTCAGCCTGTACAGCAGCATCTCATTTATGATGATCACAGGGGAGACAGTACCAGCAGCCTTAGTAAAGGCCAAATAGACAATATCTACAGTTCTTCTCTCATCTACAGGACTGTCATTTCTATGTAGAATTTTATGAAGTTGATCAAGCCTAACCAAATTTTGTGGCAACCTTAAGTTTATAAATTTTCTACTAAAAAAAATAAAAACAATGAATTCTGTTTAGGATGAAGCACTAGTGAAGACACAGAAGAGTTTCTGTTCTGTCTTTAATCTTGTGTCATTTAGGTTCCTTCTCTCCCTGTTGTTTTGTGGAGGAAAACTTTTCTGTGAGTTTTAATTTGTGGGTCTTTTCAGGGACCGACAGCAGGCCTCCTTCAAACAAGGTTGTACTAAAGTACTTTTTAAGCTAATGAGATCTGCATATGCAAGGTTGTTGCAGATTGAGGTCTTCTGTTTTCAACCTTTTCTATTCGTACTTGTAATAAAATTTTCTCTGACAGTCTACTGTTGATTTGTTGTCAATACTTTTAAAATGCAGCACCTTCAGCATTAAAAATACCTTCTAAAAGCTGCACACAGTTAATTGGTTTAGTAGTAAAAGACAAAAGCATCACTTGCTCAGAAAGAGCAAGGATAGCTTTGGAAATAAAAGTCTCAGTAACTTAAACCTCAGATCTTTTTCAATCCCCCTGATGTCATCTGTTTCTTTGCGTCTCTTTTACTGACCAAGCTCCTTAGCTTTGTGTTAACAATAGTACTTCAACACGGCAAAAAACCATAGCCTACAGTTTTTACAAGTTGCCTGAGTATCAAGAAAGTAATTTCTTTATTGTCTCGCTGATACATGAAGTTGCAATCTCAAGATCAGATTAAGAATCAAGTATTCTCTGGGGCAGTAGCTGGCAGATATTTTGTTTAAATAACAGTATTCTGGAAATAAGAGCTACTGACTAAGCACATACTTAATGCAAATGAATAGGATATCATACTTTATGTTTCTATAACACACTGCTTTCTAAATCCCAGCTGTCAGTTTTGCTGGGGACTATAGACTTTGTGCTGTTAGTGCTCAGTGCAAAATATGTTTCCCATTTTACTGTGATGTTACTGTCTGCAGGTAGCTGGTTCATTCTGGAAATGCAATTGTCTCTGTGCATTTTGAAATAAACTGTACAGTCAGTTATCTTGGTTTGTTTTGAAATACCTTGAAAAAGCTAATCCATCTGCTGAAACTGGGGGAGGAAATCTTTATCAGTTTCCAATCTATTCCCAATCTATTGTTCTTTCCATAATACTTTGTTTTCAACATATGCACAAGCTTTGTGCTCCACCTACTGGCTGATTAACATTGATTATTTCATAAAAACTCTTTAAATCATTCACCAGTTTTGTTGATAGAAAATGAAAAGCAGAACATGGCCCGAAATATGAGAACAATGTCAGCAATTGGTAAACAGAGAGGGCAGAGTTTTAAGAATTTTGTATTTCTTTCTGCATCAGAATGGAACTGTGAAAAGTAGATGTTCACTGCAACCACTCTTATATTGACTTGTAATGCAGTATTGCCATTTCTGATAATGGGCCACTGGATTGTCCTGGATTTGCAAGGCCTTGAAACAGATGCTTGCCAAACTTGTTCTCTGAACTTTTCTTGACCTGGCAGCAGCTTTCTTTTGCTTGGTTTAGCTGTAACAGCAATTTCTCTAAAAGACCAGGTGTCTGTGGCTAATTTTGCCTTTGTTTATCTTTTTATTGTACTTTTATATAGATAACAGTAAGAAGCAGTTGTTCTATGGAGAGGATGAGACACTTATGACTCTAAAATCATGAAGTAGCATAGAGAAATGCAGGCCTGGTATGGTAGCAGAGGCTTTGAAAACTGGAGGTGCAGGATGTAGCATGGAGAAGTACAGGCAGGGAATGGTAAGAGATTTCACACAAGCTTGGCACTGGAGGCCCCATGGCTATACTCACCAATAGTAAGCTAAAGAAGTGCAGAACTAGATCTGACAAACTTGGCTTTAGAGGTAATAAAGAGTAGAAAATAACAGTATGTAACACACATAAAAAGCACCATGTATGGAATATTTGGAGATACTGTGGAGCTACAGATTGATGGTGATAGAGCAGAGGTGTAAAAGTGTATTAGCAAATATAAAATTTACTCCAAGTGGATCCTAAGGTGAGAGAGAAGAAAGCATTTGCATGAAAATCCTGTTGTTCCTGGTGAAGGAACTCCAGATACTGCCAGTTCACCTTAACACTCCAGCACACCCAGAATAAAACTACAAACCTTGGGATACAAAACAGCAATGCAAGAATGAGCATCAGGAAAGGGGACAGAAACTCAATGTGTGAATAACAGTTTAAACTATTACTGAGCCTTTTTCTGTATAGAAGTATTCTAACAATACTATTATTTTTCAGTAACAATTCTGGATGAATGAGAATTGGACTCTTTAAGATTTGAATTATGCTAAGAAAAAATCGTGCTTGACTATATAAGGTGTGCTTGGGTCTTGCCTATGAGCAAGACTTGGAATATGACAACTGGTACCTAGTGCAGGCAGCCCACCTGTGGATCTTTGGGGCATATTGCAGGACAGCTCTCTGTGAGCCCATACAGTATTATAGGGGTTAGTCCTTCTGAATTTCAGGCTGTTTTTTTGTATTCAGCATATGATAACCAAAGATGAAGGAATAGATTTAATATGTGTTCCTGGTCTTGGGAAGTGTCTTAGATTAAAAATGTTGATTTTTCGGTAATGTCCACAGATCTTTTTAAGGTTATAAGATTGCTTTCTGTTTGCCCATGAAGGGAATTTTGAATGTGACACTGCATTCTAGCCTTTTCCTCATCCTACTGTTGTCACTGACCATACAAATATCTTCCTAACTCAATTTTAAAATTACTGTGTACTGGTTTGCAACATGATGTGGCAATGGAAGAGTAATATAAACTCAGTATCGAAATGTTAATTTCATAGCCCTCCATACACACTGTATATATTCCTTTTTAATTATCATTTTCATCCAATGAAGTAGTAAGCATTTAGTCCACCCACCTGGGAATTTAACATCTATCACTTCACTGTGAAGAGAATTTAACAGAATTATCCAGGAAATAGTACTACCATCTAGTCATACTGTTTTTAACATAAAAATGCCTTCCACATAATGTCTGTATATGTGAGACAGCTAAGTATTTTAAGTTTTGTATTCCAAATTCTCCATAAATATTTTGGCAGCCATTTCAAAAATTGCTGCACCACTGGGTTGTTTATAGTAGACAGAAAAATTGTGTTAAAAAAACACCAGTCAGGAAATTCTGCTAGCTATCCATCTTGAAGCCATACTCTTTTGCCAGTGTTACATCTGTGATATGAACCTAAGATGGTGACTTAAGGAGAATGCATGAACAAACATTTGCTTTAAATGTTTTTCTGTAAGATGTAAATGTGCATTTTTAAATTTATTTATTTTACATAATGATCCTGGGTGTAACAACAATTGTAACAACAATTTACATTCTGCATGGTCAAGAAATTAACAAGGCTTCCCTGAATAACTTTAAGGTATTTTATTATTTTGAAGTAAGATCCTTTTTTCTCCTTCTTGTCTTAATCCAAACCAAATATTGATCATGATGAACTGTGCTGAAAAAGTCCTCTTGCATCAGCATTTGGACTCTGTCATTGCCAAGTATATGGAACAACAGTCCTTTTTTAATACTCATTATTAGGAATGTGGAAGAGTGTAGCTAAGCCATAATCAAAATAGTCTAAAAAATACTCTGTCAGAATTCACTTTTTTCTTTTTTGGAGTTATATGCTGGAATTACTCCTGGTATAAAATTGTAGAATTTCCCACATGTTTGAATTTAACAACTACAGTTCAACTAAACGCCTTGATCAGCTTCTAGAGATATTAAAGGGCCTCAAGAAGAATGTGTCTAAAGTACTTATGAGGATAAGTAAATCTGTTTCCTCTCCTGTGAATTTCATTTAGTCAAGATAAAATTGTGTACTTCTGTATTAGATTTTATGGTGATTAAAATTCAGGAATACTGAAAGTGGACAATGAACTCTAGTTCTACTTTTCAGTTCTTTTTTGACAGCTATGTATATATGAGTTTTCAAAATAGTGAAAGTTCTTTGTCTCTCTCTCTGCTACGCTTTGGCTTCCAAGTGGATTAAAGTGAATATTCCTGTGTAAGTGTGTACTTGGGAATTAGCTGGCAGATTTTCTATTTTTTTGCTATTGTGCAATTACAGCCTTTAAGCTTTCTAAAATAAAAAGCACCTATTTCAAATCATTTTTGTGTTTGTTTTCACAGGAGATCAGTCGTCATATTGAAGGGATGCTAGAGAGAGTCAAGTTGATTATTTCAGTTTGAACTTTTTCCCTGAAAAGCAAAGGAAATAATAATTAAAATAGCTTGAGTTAAGGAGGAGCTCTGTGAAGTAGCAGCATTGCTCCATTAAGGAAGAAGAGCTATGAAGTAACTGCTAGTGATTGGAGTTATGGGATGGTATCTTATTGTGTTGAGAGAAACAAAGAACTTGGCTAAACTTTGCACTAGTGCTGGCTAGAGGGGGACCCTACTTAGTGTACTAGTGACCTGTTAAATCACATTTCTAATACACAGATGGGAAGCTCCCAGCTGTAGTGATCTTTGCATGGCAGGCTTTGGAAGTTTCATTACTTTTACAGTATTACTGTTTTAAAATAGAATGTTTTCAGGGATGGGGCATCTACAGCCTCTCTGGGTTACCTGCTCCAGTGGTTCACCACCCTCACTGTAAAAAAATTTCTTCCTTATATCTGTCTGAATCTACCCTCTTTTAGTTTAAAACCATTAAATATTACTTGCCTACATAGGGACTGTGCCAATAAATATTCTGGGTATATTTCGCTCAGGGAGCTAATTTGTCAGTAAAAATTGATTATTCTGTCAGCAGGAGAAAAGATTCTACATAGCTTCATGAAGCTCATGCCTGCTGAAGGAGACTTGTGATGATGGTTGGTTTTGACTAGTCTGCTTTGCTTTCCAATCAGTGAGAGGACCCATTTAATGCGTTTTTAATAATAACAGATTCTGTCAAGTATAGTTTTGTGTTACTGTTTTATCCCATTTTGTGCTGCTAAACTGATTGTCTTTCAGGAAGCTTTTTAACAGCTACAACTTACTCTTGCATATTTATAGATAAAATCTGTAGTTCCTTTGTGTTATTTTGAAATAACAACTTCTAAACTGTTTTTATTTCCCCAACAGCTTATGAAAAGCCCACACAAAGCATTTGCAGTTAACCTTTCTACTGATCTGCTCACTATGATACCCTTATGTGGTACTGTAGAGGCTGTTGTAAAAGTAACCTTGGTGACAAGGACTGGTCAAGTCTGCATGTTAATTCACACATAAAAAATAATCAAATCCCTGTTTGAGGCTAAGAAGTTAAAATATTTTGTGACTCTTCATCACCCACTGTCCTGTTTACCTTCCAACTCTAGAAATCCAGCTGTGCTGAAGTTAATAGCATTTGATTTATGAACAAACAAGCTTTTGTATTAAAACGGCAACTTGGTAAGCAAGTTATTAATATTTCAGTAAATGTAATTCATAAACATAGGAATTGTCTACTTTTGCTTCTTATATACAGAGCCTTTGAAGAAAGACAGAAGGAAGAAGAAGCAAAAGAACAAAGATTTAGAGAACAAGTTCTGCGGCAGAGGAAAATTAAATTTCAGGAGGCAACTGCTAAGTTCCAACATGCTCATCAGTCTTTTTCTCAGCAGAAACAAACAGGTTTGTCAATTAACTGTTATTTACAATACAAGTGTTTTTATAGTCACTGAATCAGTGAATAGTTAAGGTTGGAAGGGACCTCTGGAGGCCATTAGTCTTTTCTGATAGTAAACAGAACAGTTAACTTCACTCAAAGTAATTGAATTCACAAAAGCAAAACAACTGACAAGAAGCTCAGATCTGATAGACAGGACAATTGGGTAGGGGAAATAAAAACAGATTTTTTTTATTCTAAAAACTGTATTTTGAGACATTTCACTGTATTCCAGTCACAGTAAGTACATGACCTCCTTGAGGTATTGTGGCTTCCTGGGTTTTCCCCACTTTTTTGACTGCAGTGTGCTTATTGGTTGCAGTACTGTGTTTCCACAGCTGGGTGAGAGGTATTACAAAGCCAGTTACTAGGATAGTGTAATGATCCCCTCTTTGAACCTTTGGATATAAAATATTCCAAAATGTGCATTTTGTTTGTCATTAAGTAATTGCAGTCCTAGCATATATTAATATGGTACATAACTTTCTTTTTCCTGAATTAGTCCACTTTCTAAGCTGTTCTCTTACTGGGAAGCAATGATCACTTCAGCTCAGTTCCTGCTTTCTTGGAATCGGTGCAGATTGGCAGGAGTTTGTAGCGGCATTAGCCAAGTCTGATTTCCCGTCAACTTTCCAGTGTTCAAATGCTTAAGATATGGTCTATTACTTAGGTATTCTTTAACAGATTTACTCTCCCAACTGCAGTTGTGCCAGCTGTGAGGTAATGTCTCTGACTTCAAGATCAAATGTCAGATTAAAATAACAAAATAGAACAGTACTGGTTTAAGGCTTCTTCATAGCTCTACTGACAGCCCAGACTGTGTAGCAATAGAAGGAATCACAGTTTTTTCTCTTGGTTTTCTTTTACAGAAATTCTGCCTCTGCTACTCTCTATCCTACTTCTACTCACTTGAAAGTGGCAACACATTGTGCCTGTCTGGACTTTTTCTTTCCCCACTGGTTCAATTATTAAGTTACAATTTGGCCTCTGTAAAATATCTGCAAGCCATAACTTTGGCTTAGTGCATGAGTGGAATAATCATGATGTAAAAACAAAGTTAGATTTTTTTAACCTTGTATTTTTTCAATAGTGCAGTTTAAAGCAAATAGCGAAACTGTTGAATACGTGTGTGACTATAAACACTTAAATAGACAGGATTTTGTTTCTGAGGAACTCAAAGTGCTCTTGCATGTCTAATAATGCTAAACTACTGTGTTTATTGTAACTGTCTGGATTTAGGCTTCCAAACTTCATCAACTTAACCAAACCATTTATGGTAAAATATTCCAATTTTAAAAAACTCTTTCCCCATTGTGTGTTTTTAGCTCTGATCCCTCCAGCCCAGACTAAAGCAGCTTTTCAGTTAGAAGAAGCTCTTGAACAAATTAAAGGAACAGTTTTTACACCAGGACAGTGCTTGCAAAACATAAACAAAATCAACTTCAGGTAAGTAGTCCTGTTTATTCTGATGATCAAAGGAAGTAAATTTCTTACTGTGTTCAATAAAGACCAGACAATTACCTTAAAGAAATTGTAGGGCATTTCTCTAGTGGCAAAGAGAGCACTTCTGTGGACTTTTCCAGTGAAACATTGGGCAATTTCATTGAGTTGTTTGTGTCCAGTTGGTAAGACAGCAGAGGAGATGACACAAACCTTTTCCCCTCAGTCAAATTCTGGGAATAGTCAAGACTAACCCAATCTGCAGTCAGTTATAGCCCAACTCAGATTGCCATGGTTATCAAATTATTTGCTGTTCTCAGAATTATTCTGTCTAGGTGACTTTTTATCTAGATTTTTCTCCTTTTGACATTCAAGGATATGATAGTTTATATGTTCACCCAAGGATCTTCTTTTACAGCTATCATTCCTTTATATTTCTCATTCTCTATGTGAATCAAGAGTGTCCTGGTAAAAATTTGACCTGAAATTTCATTTTATATCACATAAAATTTTATTTGCATACTTTTCATTCTACCCAAGCACTGTTTCTAAGATACCCTGAGTTATAACAGAATGTTCCTTCATATGTACTTTATTTATCTGCTGTATTTCCTACTAGTTCCTGATTATCTCTTTCCTAACCTCTCATTTCTTTAACATTTCAGCTCAGGGGGTTATTTTTGTTGTTACTGCTTTTGTTATTCCTTTCTGTATTTCAGTTATTTTCTGCATGATATAAATTGTACAGATGTTTAGAACAGAGATAAATTCTGCCTGAAAGAGTCTCCCTACTTTTGGGCTTCAATGTGCTCTTCAGTGTGACATTGATACTCAACTTGTTTATCTGCTCTGATTAACACATTTTCAGGTGATAAACTGGTCAGTTGAAAAAATATTTTATAACTCATAGAGCTTAACACTCATGCTATTTTCTAGTCAACATTCATAGGAAGATTGCAGCAACAAAACCAAAGAAGCAAACAAGAAATCTACCTGTTAAATCTAAGTGTCATTTATGCAAAAACAGAGATGTGTTTGAATCCTATCTCAAGTTTGCTGATCATTTGTCTCATTTCAGTCATAAACTTGATTAAGGACAGCATCTCACTGCCTTAATAATTTCTGTCCTTATTTTCCAACATTTTTCAAGCTGCTTCTTGTGCAACATATTGCACAAACCACTTACCATTTCTTAGAGTGCTGTCATTCCATTTTTATTTGTATAATATAAAAGACTCATTATTCTCTAATCATGGTAGTGTGTTCTTTTTCTGGCTTTCATTTTCTTGACCTATTTTCCTAAGGAAATTATATTTATATGTTCATATTATTTTACAGTTTGTTTTCCCCTAGTAACCAATTTAAGAGAAAGCTAAGAATCTTGAGGTTAATTATATTTCTGTAAGTTTGAAATTAGAAATTTCTCAAGGAAAAAAAATTAAAATAAGTGACCCCAGCATCTGAAAGGTATAAAAGCTGAGTCCACTATGACCTATGGGGAGGTCGCCAGACAGCTAGTACAGGTAAAACAGAAGAGCATTTTGAGACAGTTCTGAACAGTGAAGGTTCTTTAAAAGTCACCAGTTCTGAGCTGAAAACCTTTAAAAATTTCTCAGAATCCCTTTAATTGGATAGTTTGGGACGGGTGATAACTAACTCATATGAAGTAGTAGATACCTTTCTGTATTTCTGTTGCTTCTTACAATTTTATAAATGCTGAAGACAAAAATCTTGTGTCATCTTTAGAATTTACCCTTCCTCAGAAAGAGAATGCCTAGAATTAATTGACAGTGCCCTCTTAGAGGAAGAAATGAATACTGTATTAAGTATGCAAGATAAATTTAGCTTCAGACCCAAGTGAATATCTGAATTTTACAAGATTCTAGGATTCATAATGTCTTTCTCTTAAAAGGTGTAAAAAAATAAATTAAGCAATGGAGACATATTGACTCCTCTTGAACAAAGCAAAAGTCCTGAAACACCTAATAAGTGTATTCCATGCTGCAGTAGAGCCATTTTTCTTCTAGTAGGGTTTAGTTATTGAATGCTAAAGCAAAGATTTTGGAGAACTCATTAGCCAACAGACACGGGGATGTTTGTACATTAGGTGTGCAAATGTCATGCAGCTCTTTTTACAGGATATATTTTCCTATTGGTGTTTAAAATTGCTATGTTTGATAAAGTTGAGTCTTGGGATATAAACTTTAATATGACAAATCAAAAATGGTCTGTAGAAAAGTTGGAATGTTGAAACATTTCTAAATATAAATGGTCCAAGCATGTAGAAATTTTTATAAATTTGAATGGTCTAAGCACTCAAATAAATATAAAGAAAGTTGTGTGTGTCCAAAAAACCAACAAACCACATTTTTGCGGGCCAGGTGTCAGTCAGTCTGGTCCACAATAACAAAAAAGATTTGGGATAGGGAGAATATCTGCCATTCAAAAGAAACTAGCATGTAGTTTTCTAAGTTCAGTAAATAAATATGTGAATTTGTTCTCCCTTTTTGCTGTCAGCTATCTCATCAGAAATAACAAATTCCCTTTTAGCTCTCCTTAGGTCACTGCAATTGAGCCAATGTTTTTTGCAGTCTTGTATAAAATCTCCTGAAAAATAACAATAAACTTAAGGGCTTGAAAGTTTCCATTTTCCATTGCCCTAAAATTATAAGTGTTGTGATAAATATGAAATAAAAAGGTCTTATTTGATTATTTACCCACTTGAAACAGATCCAGTAAAAAGAAAAGGGACAGTTTTAGATGCAGGAAGAGAAGGCTCAGAAGAAAAATCCTAAGCTGAAGAAATAGATAGAAATGAAGAAAAGAGGTGATTGAATTTCTGTACATATGTGAAACATATATCTTCAACTAAGTGCTGGTCATAGGGCCCAACTACACTAGCTACCCTAAAGATTTTTTTTTTTTGTCAGGCAGCAAATACCAATTCTGTAGAACACCATGAAACTGAGATTACACATCATTGGTAGATTTGGGCCCTATGGATACTAGAAAGCCTTCTGGCTCTTTGAAGTAAGGGGATACCTGACAGCATCAATATAATTGCACTCTGCATAAGCCTACTTTATGGGAAAATAAAGCCCATTTTCCTGTTCATTTTTTTCTTTTGTTAAAAAAAAAACCCTCCATTTTTTTTGTTTGGTTTCTGTAAATTACCAAACTGTTGGCTGACATTTTCCATATGAATGTATCTTGAAGCAGTCACCCAGCAACCCAATCAGAAAATTCTATTTATTAATAAACAGGTGAGAAGTTTTAAAATGGAAAGTGTTGGACACATTCAGATAGTACTAACAGCATTTGTCAGGCTCATCATCCTTTATTGATTTTGTATACTTTTGGTAAGGAGCGTATTTAAAAATGTACAGTTGATGCATAGGAATAAGACAGAGTAATAATTTGCTTGTTTGTACCAAGAACCACAGATGACACGTCATGCTCATCAGCATGTAGAAGTGATTCTTTCCATAAGAAGCACAATTCAGCAACGTTTGGCTGTGATGAAACAATACAGGAGAGCAGTAGAACAGACATGGACAGTGGCCAACTTCTCTTCCAGAAAAATCTGAAAGAAATGCAGCGGCTCCTTGAAAAACAGCATCTCAACAACTTGGAGGTATGATATTTTCATTTTCATGTGATTCATTGCAAGACAGTTTTAAGTGTGACAGAAAGTTTCTTAAAAGTGAAAAATAAAGTTCTGTTCAGCTGTCTTTATCAATTAGACAATACAGGTGGGCAGACTGTACTATGCCTTATCAATAGATTGTTTTTAGTAAAATTATACATATTTTCCAGTAAGAAGTCAGAGGTCTTTAAAAATACTTATAAGAATGTTTTCACAAATTCATCCAAGGTACCTGTTATGTTGTCCTTTTTTCCTGTTAATGTCAGATTTGTATGGCAGACTTCTTGTATCTAACATTGGTAGCCATTAGTTGATCACAGGAGTCTTGTGATCTTGTGATTTAAGTCTCTAAACTTAAATTGATTATTTTCAGTGCACACCCAAGTTTCTGCTGTGCTGACTGTGACAGGACAAAATGCTATAGCAGTATTATGATGGCATGTGAAATGTTGGGGGATTTTTTTTATTTGGTTGGTTTTTTTCCCAGCATGTGGTGATATGTTAAAGATTGACTTCAAGTCTCTTGAGGTCCTTTTTTATCATCTTTGGAATAACTGCAGGTGTTCCAGTAATGAGCTTTTTCTGCCTAAACTAATTTTTAGACTGAAAATAAGTTTAAAAAGTCACCTTAGAAACAGTGAAAATCAAGAACTCAGCTCTAAGGTGATTTTTAGTTGTGCACCTTTAAGTGTGATTTTATGACTCAGTGTTGTCTTTGATTTTGGAAATACTGTCTTCAAAATTACAAAAAAAAAGAGGGCATAGTTTGGGGCTCACTCTTTTATTTCTAGAATATCTATTGGTGTCCAGAGTCGTGGTGTCTGAAATGACCTGGACTCCACAAAGCCTGTCCCTCTATCTTGGTCATGGCTGGAGGCATGGAATCATTGGTGGCCATGGAGCAAGGGCTTTTCCTTTTAATACAAGTGTATAGATAACTAGGGAAAGACTTTAGAGAGTTCAGATATGGTTTGATGTTGATGTTTCTAGGAACATTAATCTCTGCCTTTGTATCTACTTTGTTCTGATGATTATGCATGGAAAATCTTGAGCAGCTGATGTCTAACACAGAAAATCTCACTCAACTGGAGTGAGGTTCAAAAAGGTTGAATGGAGAGAAAGTATAGCTTGTACTGGCAGTGTTCTTTCTTATTTCTGAGTATAAAAGAAGGAAGAGAAAGTGACAATTTATAGAAGAGAGCTGATAACACTGAATTCTAGATAACCACTTTAAAAAAATACATAAAAGCACTAGCCTTTTTTAAAATAATATCACATTTGCATTTCACTGGTAGAGAGTTTGTAAATCCCTCCCTAAATGCTGATGGTGAGTTTGGCAGTAGCTACATTAGAACATCTTAGAATTAGAAAACAAAGCACGTTCTCTTTGATAAAAATATATAAAAATGTTATTCTAAATGTATTTTAAGACTTCTATATTGGAGTGTTTTATCAAACAGAATTATCACTTCCTAATTGAATTCTAGGGGAAAACAGCTATGTGTCATGCATGATTTTTTACTCTTAGTTTTCTCTAAATGTTATCATCAACTTTGGACAGTGCATATAGTATAGGAATTTGTGTTTACAAATCAAAGTATTTTTGAAAATACCTGCAAAAAATTTTGCATTTTTTCCAGAAGGTATTTTTCTGCTGCCACTAGGGGTTGCTCAGCTTCTTTCCTCTGATGAATAGTTTCAAAATGTAAATATTTATACTTCAGACATTTGGACTTGCTTTCTTGAAATTGCATGCTTTGGACTCTGACTAGAAAAATAGTCAAGAAAGCTATTGACCATGTTCTAAGGCCTGAATTTTGGAAGTTTAATACTTGAATTGTGCTGATGGCTGGTGTGCATGTGCATTGTGACATCCTGTACTGTGAAATAGTATTTATAGTGCTCTTACTAATAAAATTTATAATTTATAATGATTTAGAATACTCTTACTGAAATCAATAGACTTCAGTGGTCTTGATACTACCTGTTGTCCAAAGTAATTTCTGATATTAAAGTATTTCACTGTGCACATGCTTTGCAACCTAGCCATCTATTGAGATCCTTTGACCTCTCTTTGTTTCTATTTTTACAGGCCCAACAGGATTATAAAGATTCCTAAAATTCTTTACTTTCCTACAGGGCAATAAAGTTCTATGTGAACCTTTACCAGTAGATTTGTTGTGTTGCCTGCTTTCCATCTCTAAATATTTGTACAGATTCATTGGTAAGCCAAGGGTTTTAGTGGCTTCTACCGTTTTCCAAAATTATTTTGTGTTAAGTATTGAGAGCAGTAGATTTTATTTTGTGCAATAGTTTCATCCAAGCCACTACATCAAGTTACTGTTTTATGTCCATGAATATGTTCCATTTTGAAGAATTTAATATTGCTAACTTCATTCACAAATAAAGGTTTTGTCTCTCCATCCTTTCCTGGTTTTATTGCATGCATAAATAAATCCTTTAAGGTGGAGCTAGTACTATGGTCTTTAGCTAAAAGTGCATGCAGCTTTTAACCAAATGACATTAGTCCCAAGGTGCTCAATATTTTTTTGAACTGTTAATTCCTTATGTTGAAATTTTCCAGTTCTGGTACCTGCCTTGTACTGAATAATTCCGAAAATTTCCACTAAATGGCTCAAATGTGACAAGGAAAAGTATTTTTCAGGTATTTTTTATCTTTTTCTTTTTGCCACCTCTTCAATTCCATGGCCATGCAACATTATTTTGATCAGTACAATATTTCTAGGCTCTACCAGAAAAAACTTTGCATTATGCCTGAATTAAACTGGTACCATTACATTTTATGTCTATAGTTTCATTTTTTAAACAAAATACTTGGAAATAAGAGCTAATTCAAGACAAAATAGGTGTAGATTATCACATGGAGATTGTATTTTCCTATTCCCTCCTTTATATGACCATAATTAGGTTACTCAAGTGGTATCTGTGAAATCTGAATTTAGATCCCTTTCAGGCTGATTTCAAGCAGTATTTTTACCTTGGTTCACTGTTTATGCTGAGAATATTGTGCAGCTATTCAAGTACTCAGTACCCCTCTTTCTATGGATACCATTCCCCTTGGAAGAAAATACTTCAATATTTATTGAAATAGTATTGGAACACTGGTATCATTTCTCAGAAATTGCAACACAAAATATATTATGTCTAATACAGGAAAAATTTGTATTTTACTGTACTATGTGTGTTTATACATGTTACCTATAAAATCACATAAGTGTCTGAGAAACAATGAAGAATATTTTCCAAGTGATGTTTTACTGAATGGTCTGGACACCACCTGCCTTGCAGGAGTTTACTTGTAAGGCTGTTAGCTGTTGGTGTTATTGTGCTTCTGAGTTTCACAGTGTCTGTGAAATGGAGAGGTTTCAGGTAACTGATGGAAAAACTCATGTATGACTGGAATGAGTTAACCAAAAGTTCCTTCTGCAGGGGGTGTTGCCAGTCTAATTCTTCAGAGCCATAGGCAAGACCAGCATGGAAAAAAGGAGTGCTGTGTACAGAGTCTCTCCCAAGCATCAAAAACCATGAGAGTGCTCAGGGCTAGTTAGTGGGAAAACAGACTCAGACAAGGGTGCTTAGGATAAAATGGCTTGAAGCAGAAGTCAAACTCGATTTTGTTGAGACCGTTCAACAAATTGAAATAGGTTTCTACAGTCACCTTAAATCTAGAAATGTTGCCCATTTTTTTACTTGTAAATGTGAGTGTTAACATTTTTATGTTGATCATTTAAATTATATGACAGGCCTGAGTGATTTCCTTACTTATTTTCGTCTTGGCAGGAGGAGAGGTGTTCAGTTTTCATTGGCTTTTAACCAATATTGTGACTAACAGCTATATCTTCCACATTATTTCAGTAATCCAAAATTCACATGTGCTATAAAGACAAATTGAAATGTATCTCCAGACTAAATTATTTTACCCAACTACTCCAACTTGTTTTGATTGTGTATTCCTCAAGAGTAGGTTTTGAGGTTTTGGGGGTGGTTTTTCATAAAATAACTTATTCTAAGCTTGCGCTGTATAAAATCACATGACAATCTTCATACCTGACCATCTGGAGTTCATTCAACAGTGTCTTTCCTCAGTTCAAAGCCCTTCTTGAGTGGGTAATAAGGTAGGATTGAAGTTAAAACAGATTTTCAGTACAAAAGAGGTTATTTCAGAGTTAGACTTATACATGGATAAGGTTATGCTTGTGGATACATAATTGTTTGTAATTGTTTGATTGTTACACATCCTGTGTAGCTCGCAAACTACAGGAACAAGGAAATTGATACTGTCCTTTAATATACACCTGCTCCTTTTTTAAAAGCATATAGCTTTTTCATAAAAATTGCCATACATACTAATGTGACTTCATTTTTGGGTTTACATACATATACATATACATATACATATACATATACATATACATATACATATACATATACATATACATATACATATGTATAGATATGCATTAAAATATGTTTACCATACTTCATGGCTGGTTTTGGAGAGATTTGTTTTACTGCAACAGACTAAGATGTTCATAAATGTAGCTAAAAGAAAGGAACAGAGTAAAAAATGCCAGTATGAAATCTTTAGTGTACTGTAGTTACAGTAAGATGTTTGCTTGCAGGAAGGGACTGGAAGATATAGAGATTGTGCATATTGGTCTACCAGGATGCTGCATTATACTAACATGGTATTATCAGTGGTAGTATATACTGGTGTCTCAAGGGGATATTGGAAAATCTATTGATTTCTCATGAAGATTAAAGTTACAATCTTCAAAGTAATTTTGCCCTTTTGAAGATGGCAGAGATGTGCTTTAGGGTTTTTTTAAGATGATAAGACTTTTGTGAATTTTAAAGCAACACATAATTCAGCTACTTTTTTGTATCCTAGTGTTCTGTTTATATCTTAGTATTCTAATGGTGGCCTGGGTAACTAGGAGCCAAATAAGTTATTTTATTATTTCTGATACTAATTATTATAAACCTGAAGCAGCACTACTGTGGCATTTAGTAGCTTCAGCTTTGCTGAACAGTTTATGCTCAATACTTGCATATCTCCATAAGGAAATGTGGGCCACCATAACTAAACTACAAAATAAAGCATCAAACTAAACACCCAAAATTCAGAAGACAAGGATAAGGAGAGAGTAACTGGGACCTCTTTCGGAAGACTGGAAGTTCTTGTAATAAACAAAGAATTTCACTGTTTCAAACAGTGGCAAGATTTAAAAAAATTAACCTTTAAATTTGGTAGTTTATTTAAAGGAAGGTAGATGCTGAAAGCTTGTACAAGTTCTTAAAAATCAAATCTGTGAAGTTCTTAGGAAGAATGTATGTCCTGAAACATATCTGATTGAAAAAAGTTGAATTTGTAAAAGAGGTAACATGTAAATCACAGATTTTTTTTTCAAGATAAGTGATTATACTAATTAAGCATGTAGTGAATGTTGGAAATTGCATGAAACTACCTTATTAGGTAAATTTATTTCTAGAAATATATAAGTATTAGAAAATGCTCTTAGATATATTGCTTAGCCTTCAAGTTGCCCTGTATGGAGTCAACTTTGAACTCAGTGATCCTTGTGGATCCCTTTCAACTTGGGATTTTCCACGATTCTAAAAGTATTTCTGTATCTGACCTTTAGGATTTCCTTACATAAATCCACTCCTGCCCTGGCTGCTGCTGTGCAGTGCACAGCAGTGAGACCATGTTAAAAACTCTTCCATCTTTACAAAGTATATTCCTAAACAAAAAACAATCCTTTTTCATGGACTAAAAAAATGTATATTACTTTTTTTGGAAATAAAGAGCTCTGATAGGGTTCTTCAGCTGAATGAAAGATTATTTTAAAAATTATATTCACACACTGATTCATTCAGGAACTGTGTACTGGTCAAATTGTGTTAATCTATTCTTTTTTACTGATGTTATGGCTCCAGATCATTCAACTCTGTTAACTGAAATCATTAAAGTGATTATTAGTTAAACACAAAAGAACTTCTAGAATTCATAGTTCATATCCATGCCCAGTATTTCTATATGACTATCTGCCTTATCATGGTTTTTAATTATGCAATCCCATGTTATTGTTGTATGACAAATTTGCGGGGTAGACAACGTCTGCTCAAACTGAATTTATTAATGGGATAGAAACTAAAAAAGGGAACAATGCATTATGGTGCACACTGCCTCACCATTTAATCATTTAACAATTTTAATGGTATTTTTATCTAGCATTATAAATGACTAGATTAGTGTGTGAGAGTTAGACACCTGGGACAGAGTACCTGAGAAACAGCACTCTGAGTACTGAGATGTTAAAGCAACCGACAGACAAGTTCAGCTGAAAATCTGTTTCCTACACAATTATGTACATTTACCTCAGGGCTTATTAAGACTGAAAATCAGAATGACACATTGGTATTCAGTGTACAGGACACTTTTCTTTTAAAATCTTCTGATGATATGGCTTACTGATATTGCCTGTATGCCTATGAAATTAGAAACAAGTTTTTTTTATACTGAGAAGTGTGAGCCTGTATTTCTAGCATCCTGTGATGATATTTCAAATAGGTCCTTTCAAAAACTCATAGATTTATAGATAGGTAGTTTCTATATTCTTAGCCTGGGAGGAGATCAGGCACCTAGGCATCAGACTGGGAAAGACAGCGGTGTTGATAGTGACCTTTTCTCTGGTCATCCTGTACCTTCAGAGCTTCTTTAGTGGGTTTGACGCAATAGAATGGAACTCTGGTGTAAGGTAAGCACCAAAATCCTTTCACAGTGTCACTTGCTCTCTTGAGTCTACCTAGATCCTCTGAGAAATAAGTGTTGTGTAGTGCTATGTATGTGATGTTTTTCAAACTCATACAGAAATGAGATTATTAATTTTGAATGGGCTTTCCCATTCCATAGCTGGTAAATTTGAAACGAGTTGTTTAGGTACCTCACTGGCTTTGAAAGTTAGTTTTGCATCTAAATAAGTTCAGTGGTGTCTTTTACTTCACAGTCAATGTCATGTATAACATGATAAATATACACATATGAAAAGCAAAGAAATTCTGTGAAGAAACCGGTTGAAATTATCAAAAATAGCAAGTAGTGTGAAGGCGTGAGGGGCCTCAGTTTTTAGAATAGGTAGCATTTTTCAGGATTTTATCTTCAGAAGAGTGTTCCTATTCACGTCTTGGAATTATGAGCAGTCAGCACTTCTTTTGCAGAAAATGTCAAATACGCATGTAGCAGCTCTTTAGTGTAATAGCATTCTGACAGAGTCCTTTGCCAGAAAATTCACTTGTCAGGTTCACTTAAAATCTTACTTGTTGCTATATTGTTCTTTCACTGGCCTTATGAAAGATCTCTTAGGCTCATGTTTTCTCTTTGCTTTACTAAAATGAAGTTGCTTGACACAGCTGTTCTAAGTCCTAAGACATACAAGTGACCTCTTTAACTCCTCGGAAGTATTCCTTTCCTAGGAATGTGGATATGTGTGGGGGTTAGATTTCATGCATTATAACATAAGATAATGCAGGCTATAGGCAATACAGTAAATGGCACTTATATAATAGGAAAAATGTGAATCCAGTAAATAACAATATAGTACTCTATGAACATTTTGTTTTCTTATCATCCTATAAAATTCTAAGAGATTAAACAAAATTAAGTCATTGGGATTTCTAGGTTTATTTCCCTGCACTTATTGATCACTAAAAAAGCGTAATTGTTGAATGCTTTTTTATTTCTGCAGAAAGACTTCTAATTACACATTTTTACAAGGAAATTGGGACACTCATGGGAAATACAATGGGACATTCATTTGCATTACATAGTACTGTAAATGGGGAAATATGTAAATATTTTAATGAGAATGTTAAGCATCTTTAATGTGTGAAAGGATGAAATTGTATGATGCAACAAAATAAATGTAAATGAACTAAATTTGCATGAGCTAAGTAAGAGTGAGTGTGTGTTTAAATGAGAACTCCTTCTTTGTTCTTTAGTTCCTAACATTTCTGGATGTTACCTCAACTGAGATTTTGTTTTCCATGGGCTCTGCTTTATAAGAACATTTCTTATTTATATAATGTAGGAACAAGTCTATTTTCAACCGCTGGAGCACAGCTATGTAGATTTCTTTATTTTAATTTTTGAAAGTTGGAAATTTTCTTGCCCCGTCCAGATTTATCTGCTTAAGTTAACCTGCTATCAAGAACAGGTTTTTTAAAATCTATCTTTACAAAATTTTTCTTCTGTCATTTGAAGAACACATTTTGCTATACAGGTGCAGTTTCCAAATTAGGCAAGTAAGACTGACAGCTGTAATTTCTTTTCACTGTTTTTTCCCCTTCTGAAAATTTCAAAATTAGTTCTTAAATTTGGCCTGATATAAAAAACTCTGAGTATATGCTTTTTCCATGTTTGGGAAAGTTCAAGCAGAGGTTAACAATATAATTTCAGCAAAAATAAAGGTTAATAAATAACTAACAAAGTGCTACTTATTCTTTTTTATTAGAAGGACATGGGTTTGTATAAGTTTAGTTTGAAAATATTCCCTAAAGGGATCTTTTCCTACACTTCCTTCTTTGATCTTCTATTTAGTATCTTTATCTGAGATCACAACTATAACAGAAGACTGCATCAACCTCTACACATCTAGTGCAAGATAAGATTTAATTCAATAATGAAAAGTCTTTCAGGACTTACTAAGCTTTTTCTTCTGCAGTTTAATATATTTGTACAGTTATAAAATATACAATATTTAGATACAACAATTTTATTGGAATAAAAATGTTTACTACAAAAATGTGTTATTATTTGCTAAAGAATTCAGTATTTGATGAGTTTTCAAAATGTTAATTCAATATCATTGCAAGGGGATATATAGTCACTCACCCTAGGTTAACAGATTTTGCTAGTTGAAACATTTTCCATTTATTGAGTAAGAGTGCATATCTAATTCAGCTTCTTAATTTTTCACACCAATTTTGTCCAACTTAAGGTTTAAAATTACTTTGCTGCTGAGCTGTGTGAAAGTGAACTTTCAGGCAAGAGTGTATGAGACTGAAAATTGTTGACATGCTTGTCTTCCTTTATGTTCTTGTGTATTTTGAAGTCTTGTACTTTACAAAGTATGTATTTTCAACCATGTCAGCATCTCAGTGCTTGGATAGAGGAGTAATAGTGAAGAAAACGTTTGTATAGTACATGCACACAGCTGTCCCACTGTGTTTCAGATGGTGCCAGTTGCTGTTATTCATGACTCCATTAAAATTTAATGAAAAGGTTGGGGAAGTGGATGAGTCCCTTATGCCCTGAGACTTGATCTGTCCTCATAGAATAGGAGATATTTTCTTCTTTCTGAAAGACTTGAAGAAGGAGTTTCACTGGGGGGAGTTGTTAATCTCTGTGGTTATGATCACTAAGAGACTTTTCTGTGTTTATCATGACAAGGGTTAACTCCTCATCACTTGTGGCATTTTCTATGAAAAGAAATATACTCAGTCTAGTAATATGGAAAAGTTGCAGTTTGGGGTAGATCCCCTATCAAACCTTCACTTTCATGGATTTTCTTTCAATTTATAACTTGAGTACCCTTACAGAGGAAGAAAACCACCCGGTCTCATAGGGAAATTCAGAAACAGTACTGTTGTTCAGATAAATTTAGTTCCTTTTTTAATATTGCAGATTTATATATAATTTAAGATTAAATTTGTTGAACTATGCTGCTCTCTCTTCTGGATTTTTTCCCAAACTATGTCATTCTATTTTGCAATTTAACCCAAGTAAATTCTGACTTGATGGAAACACACATGGAGATATGACCCCAAGTCACAAAAACACTAGGCTCAATATTCGTTTCGTCTAATCTCTCATTAATGAAAAATTATTATCAGCAAAACCACATTTCTGATAAATCTGAGAGTTTGGTTTTATGCCTGTATTTCAGAATTTTCATCAAGAAGTCAAAGAAACAGATGATTCAGAAAGCCTGATGAGCCTTGACAGTCTTGAGGCTGGAGAGCAAAATGGAAATTGCACAACACAGAGTGAATCATCTTTTACCACACAGTGTGACTGTGCCCTGTATGATCCAGAAAAATGCCAGACTAGGAATAATGGTTTACTTCACACAGATCAAAGTACTTCTAAAAATGTGCATCTAAATAATTGTCTGAGAAATGTAGATTTGCTACACTACCACAACATACCTATTCATGATCTTTTAGCTAAACATAATGTTCTAACTCCTGCTGAACATGTAAACACTTCAGAAGAGGAATCATCTGCTTCTCACAGATCTGGAAAACAACCTGCAGAATTCTCTGCCTCTGGTAAGCAAAAGAGCTCTGTAAGTAATGCATTTAGTTTTCTGCAAAACATAAAAGACAGAAGCAAGCCATCTTCTGGAACAGCTAGCACATTTGCCACTGGTCATCCTGTTTTCAATCCTAGCAGCGCCTGGAACAGCCCTGATTCTATTCCAGGAGTAAGAATTCAGGATCTGATGCAAGATCAGACTTTTAAAATGACCCCACAGGAGAGAACTAAATCTATGCAATCATCCAGTCAACCTATTGCAACATCTGTAATCTTATTTCCTAATCAGGGATGTTCCACTGGCATTCCCAGCACAGCTGATGTATTACCAAAGGACAAAAAGATCAGTACAGGCTTTTTAAAAAATACCTTAGGAAAAATAACTGAAACAAAAGAAGAAAATATTAAATGTATGAATGATATTATTTCAGAAACATCTTTATTTCAGGACATACCAAATGCCTCAGTTCTGTTGGAAGTTAAACAACAGAATAATAAAGAAGGAAAGGGAAATATAGTTGAAAATATGTCACTGTTACCTGATACAGAGTTCAATTCTGGCACTCCTGCAAAGGACAAAATCCTGAAAAATAGTATTCTTGAAAGAAAAGGAGTGAAGTTATTCAGAAGTATCTTAAAGAAGGGTTCTAAATATGAACCTAGTCATTTCAAAGCTGTGGTTACAGACCATACAATCAGTTCTGGAACTCAACTCATGTCATCTGTCAGAGACAGTTTAGAAATGGCAAAAATTAAAAAGAAAAGTGCAGAAATTGAAAAATGCAATAGGAAGCTAAAATGGTGTGATGAAATTGACCAGATAATAGAAAATGATGAAAAATGCTGTGAAAAAAGCATCAGTGAAATATGTTCTTCAAAACTGCAATGTGTTCAAACTGCAAATAACGCTCCTAAGAATAATTTAAGTATTGTTGCTCAGCCCTCAAACCCTATGTTCATGAAAAATCATCAGGAAAATTCTTATATGTCAAAACCAAACATTAATACTGAAAAATCAAATAAAGAACACCTATCTCGGAATATATTTACATCTACAGGATACTTTTCTGCTAAGAAAGCTTGGATGGTATCAAAAGATGAAGCAAGTAAACCCCCGGTATGTAGCAATAATGCTAAAGTTAAAGAAGGTGATCAACTCAAAAATAAGGCAAAAGTAACCAGAAGAGCAACATCTACAAGAGTCCAGTCACATTTTGTGCCCATGAACAGAAGAGGGACTCTGATCCAACTGCAGTCAGCCACTGAAGCCAACAAGACTCAAAAAGCTCCAGGGAAATACCTCGCACCTCACGCACCTTCCACACCTCTACCAGGAAACAAAAGTGTTGAGAGCACAGGCAGCCCTGGGTGTCCCTCACTGCCTGCCAGCCTGCGAGCTACCGGTGCTAGCAGCAGTGATTTCAATGACAGGCATGCTGTGCCAGCCAGTCAGGTTTTAAATAGCAGCAGTGCAGAAAACAGCGAGAATATTGCTGGCTGTGCTGGCTTGGCCGCTGCCATCTCTACTGCTGACTGCAGCACAGCCAAAGACAAACCTTGGGCAAAAAATACTTGTTCTGTAAATAATGTTAAGGCAAGCGCCTGTCAGCATCATTCAGTAACTTGCTCTGAGAGAAGACCTGTTAACACAGAAAATAGATTACATCTCCATCATATCCCAGCAGCTGGAAAAACAAGCACCTTCTGGCACGGAGCACATTCTACCCAAGCTCCAAAAGAATCTGCTACTGGTAAGAGTCATGTTTCTGGGTCTGGGGGGTGGGAATGTTCAGACAAAAGTCTTCTTCAAATACATCACAGATTTGTTTTCAGTTAAAACATCCAACCTTTTCATCCATTCACACAACACAGCCAGTTTTAACAAGCTTTCACCATTTGTCATTCTCATTTCTATTCTAGTGGTGCCCAGAGGCCTCTCAAACGTCAATCCTCATTTCTAATAGCTCCCTGCAATATTAAATGAAAAGGAAGTATTTTCCCTGAGATTATATTCATGACTAATGAGCAGATGTGACAGGTGGTCTGAATAATGATATAGGAGGAAGTGACTAAGTTTATACAAGTGAGTTTTACAAGGTAACTAAGAGTGATAGCTTGTTGTCCAGCAGTCATGTGAGAGTGAAAAAAGTTTAGTTCTGCTATGTTTTTAAAATGCTGACACTCTAAATGCCTACAATTAGTGAGACTTAGTCCCAATAATACTGTTAAAAGCTGAGCAAAAATTAAAGATTAGTTAAAATTAAAAAGCTTCTGCCAGGCAAACATTGCTCTGCTGCAAGGTATATCTGATTTATAAAGAATTTTAAGAAATTTGGGGAACAATCCTGCATTTTATTAAAAATTAACCTTAGGAACAATATGAGGCACAAATTGGTTGATAAGATACAGGAAAGATGGATAAGAAATATTTGGGAGAATAAACTTTAATCTCTTGGAGTTTACATTTCAATTGACATTTCATGCTTTTTGATTTGCCTGGCTTGTCCTGTGCAGCCTTGCTATATTCCATGCCTTGGGCACTGATGACATTCTTGTGCTTGTAATTTCTATGTAGTGTGCTGGTCTGCTTTCTGCTGAGGGCTGCAACTGGAGCTCCTGAGAGCTGCAGTCTCTGCTTCAGGTATAAGCAATATTCCAAACTGCTTCTCATACTGGGATCACCCCAAGGTCTGGCTATGGAACTCAAAGATACTTTCTAACAAAATGATGCATACCCTTAACTTTAACCCCACACATTTTTATTTTTTTATACAGTAATACCATTTTAACAGTTATTACAGTTTTAATTGAGTGATTCAGAACATCTCTGTTGTGTAAGAGCAGATGCAAGCAGGTGAATATTCTTGGCCTAAAGCAGGGGTGGGAACAGAAAATATTATCTGCTTGTCTGTTCCAGTTCAAAGTCAAACAGATGAGTTTAAGATCTGTGTGACTTAACCTATTTGATTTTACATTGGAAATGAATGAAGACTTGCTTTACCACACCTTGCCTCCAGCAGAGATTTTTGTCTCTTGATGTCCTTATCTGCACATCAGATCAGTGAATCAGGAAATGTCCTGGGTCCAAGTTGTGCACTACTAACAGTGTCTTCACTGCAGCTTTAAATGCTACATCCCCAGCGCCACATCCCTCCTGCTCTTTTAGAGAAGGGCTGAGTAACTGTCTTTTAAAATGCATATGGGTTGCCCTCTCTCAGTATCTGCCTATATTTTGTATTCTGAAAGTCTTCTTTATTTTAAATACTCTAGATAGCTCTTACTGACTTGCTGTTATATGTTCAATTGCCTGCAAATGCACATAGACACCATAGTCTTGTCTTAAAGTGCTTGTAGTGAGACTGAATACTGCACTGCTCTCTAGTAAAATATCTGCAGAGTTCCATGAGGTCTGTGAAGACACTGTTGAAAATATGATCAGTTGCAATGCTTTGCCAAATGTACAGAAAGTGAGAACCAGATTAATACAATTGTTGTCCATGAGGATCTCAATT